TTCTTGTGGCTATGGTAAATGGGATTACTTTCTTCAGTTCTGTCTCTGTCTGCTTGTTGTTTGTATATAGAAATGCTATAGGTTTTTGTAAGTTTATTTTATATCTTGCCACTTTACTGTATGCATTTATTACGCTGAGAAGTTTCTTCGTGGATGCTATTGGGTCTTCTATGTATACAATTATGTAATCTACAAACAGAGATAATTTCAGCTCTTCTCTCCCTATTGGAATGCCTTTTATTTCCTTCTCTTGTCTGATTGCATTGACTAGAACTTCCAATACTATATTGAATAGGAGCAGAGAAAGTGGGCAACCTCATCTTGTACCAGTTTTTAGTGGAAATGCTTTCAGCTTTTCTCTATTCAGTACAATGTTAGCTATAGGTTTTTCATAGATAACTTTTGTTATGCTGAGAAATTATCTTTCTATGCCAGTTTTACTGAGAGTCTTAATCATAAAGGAATGTTGTATTTTGTCAAATGCTTTTTCTACATCAATTGAAATGATCATATGGTTTTTACCTCTCTTTCTGTTAATATGGTGTATTACATTTATGGTTTTGTGTATGCTGAGCCACCCTTGCATCTCTGGGATAAAGTCTACCCAGTCATGATGAATAGCCTTTTTTATGTGCTGTTGAATACAGTTAGCAAGTATCTTGTTCAGAATTTTTGGATCTATATGCATCAGAGATATAGTTCCATAGTTTTCCTTTTTTGTTGTATCTTTATCTGTTTTGGGAATGAGGGTAATGGAAGTTTAATAGAATGAATTTGAAAGGGTTCCTTCCTTTTAGATCTCTCGAAACAGTGTGAGTACAATCCATTTTAGAAATTTTCCCAGATGACTAATGATCTGTCTTTCCTATTATTCTTTATAAAATAACCCATTTCTCATTCCCACTAATTTGAAAATTTGAAATGCCACATTTGTTATTTATTATATTCTTTTTTTTTTTTTTGAGAGGTTTTTGCTATAGAGCACATGCGCTTGCCAGAAAGACAGAGAGAGACAGAGAGACAGAAAGTGAAAAATCACCCCCCAGGGGGGATGGCCATGCTGCAATTCCTTCTCCTCCATTCTCCTCTCAGAATCTTGGGCACGCACACACACGTGCCCGGCGTGAGTTTAAGCCACCAGGTCCAGGACTTGAACCGTGGTCAACTACATGGAGTCCAGCAACATAGCCATTGTGCTAACTGCTGGCCCCTATTCTGGTATGTTTTTAAATTTTGCTTCTGGACTTTGCAGCTGATCTGTCTGTATTCATGCACCAGTAATATTGGGTCATCGGAAAAATCATGACACATATTTGCATAGAAAACCAGAAAAATACTTCATGATTTTCCCAATGATCTACTGTATTGTGTTAATTATTACAAAGTTTTATAATACTTCTAGTACTTTTAGTATTTGTTAACAGTCTCTCTCTCTCTCTCTGTGGTACAGTGAATTGTGGGTATAGTTTTATAGATTTTGACAAATTTACAGTCACATATCTACCGTTACAGTTCCATATAAAACAGTTCCATCATACCCAAATTCCCCTGTGTGGCTCCTATGTAATCAAACTTTCTCCCAACTAATTATACCTTGCAACAGCTAAACTGTTTTTTGTCCCTAGTGTCTTGCCTTTTCCAGAATGTTATAAAAATGAATATGGGGACCAGCAGTTGGAGTAATGGCTATGTCGCTGGACTCCATGTAGTCGACCATAGTTCGAGTCCCAGGCCCAGTGGCTTAAACGTGTGTGCCCAAGATCCCAAGAAGAGAATGGAGGAGAAGGAATTGCAGCATGGCCATCTCCCCTGGGGGTTGATTTCTCACTTTCTGTCTCTCTGTCTCGTTCTGTGTTTCTGGTGAGCACACACTTGTACCCTATAGTAAAAACTTCTTTTATTTAGAAAAACCATTTAATATTTATCCGGCCCAGCTGTGGCAGCACACACTGCTAAGACAATGTGCTCTGCAGGCTGGTACCACATGAGAGGCCTGAGTAAAATTCCTTGTACGATCTAAAGGCCTGGTGGGAGTTGCACCTGTAATGCCAGTGACTTGGAAATGCTGAAGCAGGAAGATCACAAGATGAGACCCTGTCTTCTTTTAAAAAACAATATATTTATGTTGGTGCATAAAATAAGCAGTTTATTCCTTTTATTGCTGAGTTATATTTTATTGTCTGGATATAACACAAATTGCTTGTCCATTTATATCTGGGCTTTTTTCCAGTTTGGGACAATTTTTAATAAAATTGATATAAACACTCACATACAGGTTTTTGGATAAACATAAATTTTTCTTTTTCTTGAGAACGTATGTAAAGATGGGATTGCTGGGTCATATGGTAGGTATATGCTTAGCTTTATCAGAATAGCCAAATTGTTTTACTAAGTGCTTGTATCATTTTATATTTCCATCAGAAATTTATAAATATTCCAGTTACTTTGTATCTTTGTCAGCACTTAGTATTGGCAGATTTTTTAAAAATTGGGGACCAGCAGATGGCATAATAGTTACATCACTGAACTCCCATGTAATTGACTGCAGCTCAAGTCCCTGACCTGGTGGCTTAAAACACATACCAACAAGTGTGCGTATGTGCCCAAGATCCCAAGAGGAGAATGGAGAAGGGACTGTGGTGTGGTCATCCCCCCAGTGGGTGATTTCTCACTTTCTGTCTCCCTGTCTCTTTCTCTCGGATGAGTCCATGTGCTCTATACCAAAAAATCTCTCTTTAAAATAAAATGTAGTCATTCTGATAAATGTATAGTGATATCTCATTGTGTTAACCTGCATTTGACTAGTAATTAATATCACTTATCATGCTAATTTGACAACTATATATCTTCTTTCATCAAATGTCCTCTTTAGATCTTTGACTTGTGACTTGTTTGGTTTTTTTAACTGAGTATTTGTTTATTAATTGTTGGGTTATGAGATGTCTTTATAAGTACCCTGGATACTAAGCCCTTTATTAGATATGTGATTTGCAAATATTTTCTCCCACTCTGTGCCTTATAGTCCCATTGTCTTTTACAGAATTAAACTACTTAATTTTGATAAAGTATAGTTCATCATTTTGTTTCTCTTACGGATTATGCTTTTGGTTTTATATCTAAAAATCACTTGCCTAACTCAAGGTCTCAGAGACTTCCTCCCAGAGGATTTATAGATTTGTGTTTCATATTTACGCATATGATTCACCTTGAGTTGATTTTTGTTTAAGGTGTGAAGTATAGGCTAAGGCTATTTTTTGTTTATTATTTTTGGCTATGGACACCCAGTTGTCCAGCTAGACTATAAACTCCTTGAAAATAATGTCCTTGGGACCAGCAGTTGGCATAATGGCTATGTCGCTGGACTCTCATGTAGTTGACCACAGCGTGAGTCCCGGACCCAGTGGCTTAAACTCATGCTGGGTACATGTGCGTGTGTGCCCAAGATCCCAAGAGGAGAATGCAGGAGAAGGGATTGCAGTATGGCCACTTTCTCACTTTCTGTCTCTCTGTCTCTGTTTTTCTGGCAAGCACACATGCCCTACAGCAAAAACCTCTCCAAAATAATAATAATAATAATTTCCTCTAATATTTGCATTCTTATAATGAAATAATACTCTCCACACAGTATTAGGTCATCAGGAAAGTCATGACATACTTTTCTCTGTTCTCCTATGCAAATATGCATCATGACTTTCCCAACAACCCAGTATGTACATGTCAAGTACTTGTTAACTGAATGACTTATTCTTAGTTATTGTTTTAATTATACCTCTCACCACCTGAGCAAGTTATCTATAAGTGGTTATTTTGTTTTATCATATTAAATTCAAACCTTTATACTACCTTTTAGTTCAAAAATTTAAGATCACATGGATAGTTTTAAAGTGTCACTTTCAGTGAAACTTCTGAAAATATTTCCATTTGATTTATATATTTTAGCTACAATTACTCCTCTTTGCCAAGATTGCCGCCTGACTACCTTTACTGATATGGTTTCAATTATGGATTTACCTAACAAGAAAGAAAGCATAATGATAAACAAACAGAACAGATGGCCAGATTGTAATATCCTTTTTGAAGCAGATCCTGACTACCAAAACAAAGTAAGTTTTAAAACAATTTGTCTTAGAGGATGTTTAAATAACAAAAACCCACTAAAAATTCTTAATGACAGTATCATAATTCATGGAAATTAGAAAATCATTTCCAGTAGAATTGAAGAAAACAATCCCCCCTTTATTTTTATAAAACTGAGTGATTTTTAAAAATTATTTATTCTTATTTATTCATTCACTTATTATTATTATTTTTAATTTGACCAGAGAGAGAGAGAGAAAGAGAGAGAAGGAAAGTGAGAAAGCAAGCCACCAGGTCCAGGACTTGAACCGTGGTCAGCCATTTGGGAGTGTCCAGAGCCTTAACCACCACGCCACCTGCTGGTCCCCACAATCCCTTTTATAATAGCCACAAAAAACATAAGATACCTAGGAATACACTTAACCAAAGAAGCCAAAGACCTCTGCAAGGAAAACTGCAAACAACTAAAAAAGAAATTTAAAATGACACAAAAAAAATGGAAAGACATCCCATGTTCCTGGATTAGAAGAATGAATATTATCAAAATGTCAATTCTACCCTAATTAATCTATACATTTAACATGATCCTGATCAAATTACCAGAGATATTCTTCACAGATTTAGAAAAAACAATCATAGAATTCATCTGGAATCATAAAAGACCCTATATGGCCAGAGCAATACTGCACAAAAAGAGAGTAGGAGGCATCTCACTCCCTGACCCAAAAATCTATTACAAAGTTGAGATAATCCAAACAATATGTTACTGGCACAAAAGCTGGCATGTAGACCAGTGGAACAGAATAGAGATCCCACAAATAAACCCCAAGACATATTGCCAACTGATTTTTGACAAAGAGCACCAGACAATCCAGGGTGGGGGGGGAGGAAAGTCTCTTCAGTGAATGGTTCTGGGAAAACTAGGTATCTACCTGCAGAAAAATAAATCTGGACTCCTATCTCTCACTATTAACAAAAATCAAAGATCTAAACCTAAGACCTCAAACTATAAAATTACTGGTGGAAAACTCAGGGGGAAACTTTTGGAGATGGCAGAGTAGGTAAAGACTTCTTAAATAAAACCCGTTAAAGCACAAGCGATAATCCTGAAAATGTACGAGTAGGATTACATCAGGTTTAAAAGCTTCAGCACAGCAAAAGAAACAATAATGAGTGAAAGAGACAACTCTTGGAATGTGAAAATATATTTGCAAACTCTCCTTTGGATAAGGAACTGACAACCAAAATATACAGAAAATTCAAGCAACTTACCTGCAAAACAATAATGAATCCAATTAAAAGATGGGAAAATGAGCTGAACAGACAATTCTCCAAGGAAGACATATGAACAGCAAAAAAGGGTATGAAAAAATGTTCATCTCTTATTATAAGGAAAATGCAAATCAAAAACACAATGAGATACCTCCTAACCCTAGTCAGAATGGCTAAGATTAAAAAATAAAGAACGATATGTGCTGGTGAGGCTGAGGTAAAAAGTGAACTCTCCTACACTGTTGGTGGTAATATGTATTTAATAGAAAGTGGATGAATATAGAAGATTTAATGCTAAGCAAAGCAAGCCAGACTATGAAAGAGAGGCATTGTATGTCCCCACTTAACATATACTGAATGTCTACACTCTATGGCAGAAACTGGTAGTACAGTAATTAAATGTAAAAAATAAAATAAAATTAGGAAAAAGTTTTTTAAAAAAGAAAAGAAATTGGGAACCAGCAGTTGGAGTAATGGCTATGTCGCTGGACTCCCACGTAGTCGACCGCGGTTCGTGTCCCGGACCCGGTGGCTTAAAACTCACGCCGGGCGCGTGTGCGTGCATGCCCAAGATCCCGTGAGGAGAATGGAGGAGAAGGGATTGCGGCGTGACCATCCCCCCTGGGGGGTGATTTCTCACTTTCTGTCTCTATGTCTCTCTCTGTCTGTCTGGCGAGTGCACGCGCCCTACAGTGAAAATCTCTCCAAAAAAAAAAAAAAAAAAGAAAAGAAAAGAAATTCACTTCCAGTTATCTCCCCACTAATCTTCCCTCTGAACTCTCCTCTGTATATTCTGTTTTTCCAACTTCCATTGTAAAAATGAACCTTGTCTTTTATGACTACCTCATAATAATGCATTGCCAATAAGTTGACTTCCATGCCCCAATTCTTCTCATTACCATGTAACAATTATTTTTGTTCAAATTCACAAAGGACTCTAATTGGCTTATCTTGGGTCAGGATTACAGTCTTTCCTGAGTCCAGCAGGTAGTATGGTAGTTAAAAGTACTGGATTCCATATGGCTAGCTGTGTAGGTAAAGTCCCAGACCTGGAAGCTTAAAAAACACACCAGGCATGTGTACATATACTGCCTGCTGGTCTCAGGAAATCCTTTGGAGAATGGAGGACAATGGACAGTGGCACAGCCATACCCCCTAGGAGGTGCTTTCTTACTTTCCCTCTCTTTGTCTCTCTAGTGAGTACATGTACCCTATAGCAAATTTTTTAAAAGATGAAAAGAAAAAAATAAAGAAAAGGATCACATCCTATACAAATCAGCTTGGTCTCAGGTGAGGTCACATAGTAGACAGAAATGAGTCTTTTCTAGGACATATACTCTAAAGCAAGGTAAGAAGCAAGAAAATAAATGGTGTCTATAGTATATGGCTCAAAAAAACATGTTAAAATTATGAAGTTAAATAATCTAATAAGCTATTATATAAAAACCAAATACTAGAAAGGTACTTAAATTTCTTTTTTAAGAAGAATTATTAATTTAATTTTATTTATTATTATTTTAATTTAACCAGAGAGGGGGGAAAGTGAGAAAGCAAGCCACCAGGTTGGGGACTCAAACTGTGGTCAGCCATGTGGGAGTCCATTGTCTATACCACCAGTTGGCCCCCCTAAATTTCTTAGTCTTTTTTCTTTTTTTAGTTTCCCCTCCCCCCCATGAAGCCTGTGTGCTCTCTGGAGAGACAATGAGAGGGAAAGTGAGAAATCACCTCCTGGTGGTGATGGCCACACCACAATCCATTCTCCTTTTGGGATTTTGAGTAAGCACACACATGTGCTTGGCATGAGTTTCAGGCCATCAAATCTGGGACTCAAACCACAGTTGGCCATGTGGGAATCCAGTGCCTTAACCACTACACCACCTGCTGGTCCCAAAGTCTTATGCTTTTAAATATTTCTTAAAGTCATAAATGTTAGATATTAAATAGACATTCTTAACAAAATGAATTCCACATAAGACTATTATCTTAGCAGAAACTATTAGCATATCAGACCACACTTTTTTCACTCTTAAAAATTCTGACTAACTTTTTAACATATTTATTTACAGATTGTCAGTCTCCTAGCTATTATTGGAAATTCAATGGGCATAGTAAATGTTTACAGCTACAAGTTTATAAAGTATTGTACCATGGTGGAGGAGGCCAAAATCATGAGTATAAAAATGTCATCCATGGGAGAATTAACTTCAACAGAGTTTAAAACTATACTAAATACATTCAGAAGCTATCTTAGACAAATCGTGAATATGACTATTGAGAAACGCATTGGTATTTTCAACATCATAAGTCTTGATTACCAGTCAGAATGCTTACCATATGTTGACAACATAGTCCGTATGACCAATACCCGATTGCTATCTGTAATTGACAAAAAGAATGCAAATCTATTGGAAGTAAGTACTTTGAAATTTTCTATTGTATAAGATGATTTCATATTTGATTACAATTTTAAAATACATACTTAGAAAATATACATGATAAGTATTATCCTCAGAAAATTCCAAATGTATATAACATTTGTTTGTGCCTTTGATCAAATAACACTTCCTCAGAAAAAACTTTCTCTAATCACATCTAAAATTGCATTTCTTATCACTTTCCTCCTCTTTTCCCTGTTTCATCCTTGTAAGATGCATATCTACCTGAAATTATGCTATATATCTCTTAGTCTGTTCATCATTTCCTTCACTAGAATGTAAGTTTCATCAATTTATGAAGTATCTGAAATAAATATTTTAATATACGAAGATATTGGGGTTCTACTGTGTATTAGGGTTTATCACTTTTTTTTTTTGAAGAGGTTTTTTTGCTATAGGGCGCGTGTGCTCGCCAGACAGAGAGAAACAGAGAGACAGAAAACGAGAAGTCACCCCCCAGGGGGGATGGCCACACCGCAATCCCTTCTCCTCCATTCTCCTCTCAGGATCTTGGGCACATACGCACATGCACCTGGCGTGAGTTTTAAGCCACCGTGTCCGGGATGCGAACCGCAGTCAACTACATGGGAGTCCAACGAGATAGCCATTACACTAACTGCTGGTCCCCAAGGGTTTATCACTTTTAAGGAAGGGTTCTGGGCAGGCAGATCACCTCTGAGACAGCAGCAGTTTAGAGTTTCTGTGGAGATTGCAGAACTGAGAAAGAATGAAAATCTGGGAGCACCCAAAACCAAATAACCTACCCCTCTATTAGCTATTCCTCCCATCCTATCACCCATATAACTTTCTACTACAGACAGATACTAGTAAACCATTGTCTACATAAGCACCCTCGGTAGTACCTCAGACCTGCTTAAGAATATGAACTTATATTAGTAGTTACTATATGTTCATTTATTCAATTTGAACATTTATAAAGCATTGATTTCATGGTAGGCACTGTACTAGGCCTCTAGAAGATAATGGTGAGAGAGAGAGAGAGACTCATTCTTGCTCTAATAGATTCTAATCTATCAAATTCCCTTTAGGATTTTTTGGCAAAAGAGGTTTGGTGATAATTAATTCTCTTAACCTTATTTGAGAAAAATCCCTCTTTCATTTTTTGCCAGGTACGGTACGCTGGGCTGGTGGTATTATTTTTTTTCTTTTCTTTTGGCATTTTGAATACATCATTCCTCTCTCCATTGGACTGCAAGGTTTCTGCTAAGAAATCATTGCTAGCCATTTTGGAACTCCTTATACGTTACTTGCTTCTTTCCTCTTGCTGCTTTTAGAATGTTTGCTTTGTCTTTGCTTTTTGTTTTTTGTTTTTTGTTTTCCAGCTTGATTATAATGTGTCTTGCCACAGTCTTGTTTGGATTGAGTCTGTTAGAAACCTTTAAACTCCCTATATCTGAATATTTACATTTTTCTCCAGATGTGGACAAATTTCTATTCTTTAAATAAACTTTCTACCCATTTACCTACCTTTTTTCCCTTCTTGAATTCTTATGACTCAAATATTTGTTCTTTCGATTCTGTCCCATAAATCCATAAGCTTTCTTCCTATTTTCCCCCTCTTCTCACAGTATATTTTCAAATAATTTGCCTTCCAAAGAAACCATGACGTTTCTTCCTTCTTGATCAATTCTATTGTAATTTTTGTTTTGTTCATTGTAGGTTTTCATCTAGAATTTTTATTAGTGTCTATTATTATTATTTTAATCTCATTGAAGTTCTCATTCTGTTCATTTGTTGTTTTCTGGATTTTTTGAATAATTACTTCTGTGTATGTTTTTCCTTTTTTGCATTTGAATAAAAGATTTATTATTTTCTCAGGATAAAACAGGAAGTTAGGGAAACACTATATTCTATAACTCATATTTGTAGTTGGTCCTAACCTTTTTTACTACAGCTATCAAAAGTCCTAGCTGTTTAACCAGAACCAAGGTGTTCACTCCATAGATTGTATATTGACACTGAAGGACTGCATGTTTTTTCCTGAGAGAAGCGTAAGACAGAGAAGTTGCTGAGAGAGCCATCTTTCTAAGTATCCCCTCCCTTTCCATTCTTGAGAATTTTCTTGAACTATGCAGCTAGTCAGCACTTCAACCACAAACCTCATGTCCCTATAAACCAACCACCACCCTTTCTCTGTATTTTCTTAATGTTTATTGAGCTTCCTTAAAACAGTTTTTTGAATTCTTTGTCAGTCAACTCATTCATCTCTGTTTCTTTGAGGTCAGTCACTGATGCTTTAGTTTTTTTCACTTTGGTCATGTCATGTTTCCCTGAATTTTTTTGATCCTTGAAGCTATGGATTGGTGTCTATGCATCTGAAGAAATAGGCAAGTATTCTAGGCTTTGTGTACTGGCTTTGTTTGGAAAATCCTTTCAACATTCAACCTTTACAGATTTTGAGCAAGCCATCTGTTGTGGCCCATGGAGAAGCTTGCCACTGGAATATATGGTTGGGCTGGACTGGTATCCTGGGTGAGCCGGAAGGGAGACCTAGAACCTACATCCACTTCAGTAAATCTATTTATTGTGTTTATTGGGGGTAGGTCTGCAGCTTGTATCCTCAGGGACCAGCCTAAAGCCCATGATTGCTAGGGCTGGTATGGCACTAGTACAGTCCTGAATCCCTGTGCTACTAGAGGTGATACAACACTAGGGCAGGTCCAAAGCCCAAGATCCCTGGTGCCAACTTGCTGCTGAGAGCTGTGTGGAGCACAAGGCCTCTGAAGTCAACCCAGTGGTGGTATGGACTAGGCCATGCAGACCTGAAACCTGGGGCTGTGTAGTAAAGCCTGGAGCCAGGGAGAGTCTGGAGGCTCAGTATACAACAGATATTAGCATCAAGTTTGGAGCTTTGGAGGCCTTGCCCAGTTCTGGTTTTACTGGAGCAGGTTTGGTATTTGAATCCAAGACAAAGTCTTTTGTTCATTTCCCTGTCTTTCTCCCAGATGGACAATATTTCCATGCTAAGCTACATGGACTTAGAGGAGGGGTGAAATATATATCATAAAACTGTGCTTCCTATACTCTTCAATATGTCTTTTCATATTTCCATGCTACACCTAAGTATTGTGATCTCTCACTTTTTTTTTAAGAACTTGTGAAGGTATATTTGTATGTGAATAGTGGTTCTAATTGATATTTGATGTTTCTACAGGGCTACAATTACTGGACAGTCCTATTTCACTATCTTGCTCCCTATTACTATCTGTAAAGGTCTTAGAGTTTCTGGAACACAGAAACACTAAGAATAAGATTTCTAGAGTTAGAAGAAGCATGGATTTGGTTCCAGAAAGTTGTTTCTGTACGACTGTTTAGGAAACTGTTCTGAAAGTTCTGTTTATTCATCTTCATTCTGACCACTGTATGACCTAGATGTATTCTTTTCTTAAGGTTTTGGGAACTTCCTTTTATATAGTTAAATACATTTCTTTCCATTCCTACTTTGATAATTTTTTAATCATAAATAAATTTTTATCTATTTGTAACTATAGTTATTGAGATAATCTTACAGTTGTTTTCCTTTTAATTGAAGAATTACATTAATTGGGACCAGTAGTTAGCACAATGGCTATGTTGTTGGACTCCCATGTAGTTGACCGTGATTCGTGTCCCGGACCCAGTGGCTTAAACTCACGCCGGTCGCCTGTGCATTTGTGTCCAAGATCCTGAGAGGAGAATAGAGGAGAAGGGATTGCGGAGTGACCATCCCTCCTGGGGGGTGATTTCTCACTTTCTATCTCTCTCTTTCTGTCTTTCTGGTGAGCACAAGCGCCCTATAGCAAAAATCTCCCCCCCCCCAAAAAAAGAATTACATTAATTGACTTTTTGTTTTGTCTTTGCCATAGGGCACATACATGCCCTCACTAGAGAGAGACAGAGAGAGACAGTGAAAGGAAAAGTGAAAAACCTTCCCCCCAGGGAGGATGACCACACCACAATCCCTTCTCCTACATTCTCCTCTTGGGATTATGGGTATGCACTGCACACATGCCTGGCATAATTTTCAAGCTGCCAGGTCCAGGACTTGAACTGTAATTGGCTATGTGGGAGTCTAGCATCTTAACTACCATGCCACCTGCTGATCACACATTAATTGACTTTTTAAGGTTAACTTCACATCCAAATTGATAAATTTAGCTTGCCAGTGCACACACATACAATTGTTTTAAGATTTTTGCATTTATAAGTGAAATTGGTCTATGACTTTCTTTTGAGAAAAGAAAATCTGTTTTATCTGATTTTGAATCACCATATTAGTAATATCATAAGAGAAGTTTGAGTATATTTCATCTTTTTTCTACTCTCTTACTCTATACAAGATTGGAATTATCTGTGTTCTTTGTGATATAGATATGTATTTAAAAATATTTTTGACACTTATTTTGATTTGTGTTTGGAATGAAGAAAGTTGTGTTTACTCAGTCAGCTTTTTTTTTTTTTTTTTTTGGAGAGGTTTTCACTATAGAGTGCGTGCGCTCGCCAGACAGACAGAGAGAGAGAGACAGAGAGACAGAAAGCCAGAAATCACCCCCCAGGGGGGATGGTCACGCTGCAATCCCTTCTCCTCCATTCTCCTCTCAGGATCTTGGGCACACACGCACACGCGCCCAGCGTGAGTTTTAAACCACCGAGCCCGGGACGCGAACCGCGGTTGACTATGTGGGAGTCCAGCGACATAGCCATTATGCTAACTGCTGGTTCCCCCATTCAGTCAGCTATCTTGATCACTCTGGATGTACTTTCTATATGTCAGACAAAATAATATGCTTATTATTTTTTTACTCAAAAATACAGATGAAGACACCTACTTTATGAAAGTGAAACTACTTGCTTAGGTTTACAAAGTAAATACTGGAACTGTGAATCAAACACAAATCTTTCTGACTTTAAGGCCTCTTCATGTAAACTCTGATAAGATTCACACAGACATATGTACATCATAGTAAGATTTCTGAAAGATTAAGAGTTATTATCTCTGGGTGATGGAATAATAGGTGGTCTTTTTTAAAAAAAAAAACTACTTCTGTATTGGAATTTTTGCATGAGTAACTGTTTTATAATCTAACAGAATAAAGTGAAAAATTAGAAACCTATAAAAATGTACTCAAAACTGTGAAGATTGACAATTGAATTGACTTTGATTCCAAAATTAAATAAAATTATAAGTATTTACTAAGACCCTTTGAAGCATGAAGAAATTATATAAAAAATTTTTAAGTCCAGTATGGAAATTAATTTAAAAACTTAATTAAATGATATATCCATAGTCTTCTGTATAATATCAGTAGATATTATACATATAGTGGATAAAAGTACGATAGAAAAAAATAGGATTTGGAACCAGATTTGGGTTTGAATCAAAATTCTGTAACTCACTAAATTTCTAGTCTTAAGACTATTGAATCCCTTGGAGGCTTAGTTTTGTCCAGTTCAAACTAGGAAAAATAACACATGATTAGTACATACAGTATCTGAAAAAAGTAAGATCATGTTCCTAAAGAACCTTGCACACATATTTTTAAAAAGTGGTAGCAATTATAACTCACTGTTCTCATTTCAATCATGCCTGTGCTATTTATCTTATATTTATATTTTTAGAAAACTATTATTCATAGTAGTTCTTCTTTTATGTCTTTGTAATGTTTATTTTATATGCAATATATGTTCAAGTACTTTCCATTAACAATAAGATGATTCGGGACCAGCAGTTGGCGTAATGGCTGTGTTGATGAATTCTCATGTAGTCATTCACGGTTCGGGTCCCAGACCCGGTGGCTTAAACTCACCCCAGGCATGTGTGCATGCGTGCCGAAGATCCCAAGAGGAGAATGGAGGAGAAGGAATTGCAGCGTGGCCATCCCTCCTGGGGGGTGATTTCTTGCTTTCTGTCTGTCTCTCTCTCAAGTCTTTCTGGTGAACGCATGCACCCTACAGAAAAAAAAAAAAGAAACTCACAAAAAAAGGAGGATTTAATCATGTTAATTAATCATGCTCCAATATTTAAATATTTAGAATTATGTTTATACATCTTTATTTTTTCTGAGATTATGTAAGTTAGAGAAATTAGAAAGAATTAATTTTCCAAAATAATGAGACAATCATTACAAAATTATAATTGACACATTAATGATTTTAGGTTATAGAATCATCTTTGCAACAGTTGGAAAGTGATCCCACTGAAATAGAGGAATTTGTGGAACATTTTACTTTTTTGGATTCTATTTCCTCAAAAATAATAAAATTAGAAAAAGAGCATCAAACAATTTCTCAGCTATATTCTGTTGCAAAGCTTTATCAGATCTACATTTCAGAAGAGCAACTTGCCATATATAAAATTCTCCTTATCAAGTTTAGTCAACTAAAAACATCTATGAAGCTAAGCAAAACAAATAAAGAAGCTGTAATAACTAAATTCAGAGATAATTTGGAAGCATATATCACTGGTCTACGAGTTGATGTTAGTAATTTAAAAGTCAAAGTAAGTTGGTTTTCTGTTGTTGTTTTCCATTAAAAACTTGAACTTAGTCTCTTGTAAGAGTAGGCATTTGGGTGTTTGCTTTCTGTGGAATCTTGGCTAAATAAATCGTGTGTTTTTTTTATTTGTTTGTTTTGAGAGGTTTTTACTATAGGGCGCGTGTGCTCGCCAGACAGACAGAGAGAGACATAGAGACAGAAAGCGAGAAATCACCCCCCAGGGGAGATGGTCATGCCACAATCCCTTCTCCTCCATTCTCCTCTCAAGATCATGGGCACACATGCACACGCACCAGGCGTGAGTTTAAGCCACTGGGTCCAGGACGCAAACCATGGTCGACTACATGGGAGCCCAGCGACATAGCCATTATGCTAACTGCTGGTCTCAATTTAATACAAATATTATTAACCTGGAATTCATAGATAAAATGTTGGTAATTTGTAAACTCTGAGAAATAAAGTTAATCTCTTGGCCCAGCTGTGATAGCTCACACTGGTTGATGCTATTACTTAGCCAGCTGAGGCCACATGTGACTCCCAGGTTTGATTCCAGCCCACTGTAAAAAGCCAGGCACAGTGGAGCACAGCTCTAGACCAGCTACTCAGGAGGCTCAGGCAGGATTGCAGCATAGTGAGACCTTGTCTTAAAAAACAAACAAACAAAAAAACTTTATTTACATCAACCTTTAATTGGAAGTTAAGATTTTCTTCTATCATGAATGAATGCAGGCAGCAAACTGCAGCAGAGCTGGAGGTTTTTATTACAGATTTTAACAGATTGCCAAAGAGGCCCATGACATAAAATGGGCTAAAAAGAAAACGCCTGTCATCTTTCCGGGCTTTTGTTTTAGACCCAGTGATGATCATTCCAATTTTACTCACTTATCTTGTTAAATCTTAGATAATATACCAAAATGCTTTGACTATCTGTAAAACATGTTTTATGTTCTGAACATTTCAGTCTCTTAAACTGTCCTACTGTTATTTTTTAGATAAGAACTCCTATTCTGTTATTGGCTGGTACTAGAGTAACAATAGCAAAGGAAATGATTCGGACTCTGTCAGAGGAAGCTACAAGTTTAGCTCACAAAGCTAAAGCATACTCAAACTGTCACGACCGTTTTGAAGATTCCCAATCGCATATGCATTCCCTTAATATGGAAGAAATTATACAGCTTGTGCTTTCAGAGGTCTCTGACATTGAATGTGACTTAAGCTTAAGGAAAACACTATGGGAAACACAAGAGGAGTGGGGAACACTCTTTTGTGAATGGAGAAATTGTACTCTTCAAAGTATTGATGTAGAATCGGTACAGAGATACGTTTCCAAATGGATGCACACAATCTCTATACTAGAAAAAGGTAAAAGTGTGTTTCTCAAATTTTCCCACCTTGCTTTACACACAATATGCCCTTTGAGTAGCAAGGTCATTGTCTTTGGTCTTGTTTCTTTACCTGTTTCCAGGGGCTGACCATTTGGGCTGGAGAGACAGTACAGGACTGTACATAGGAATTATTTGTTGAAGAAGAAAGAGATGAAAATTTGGCAAAAAAAAACCCAAAAAACAAAAACTTAAATTTAAGTATTTAATAATTTCTGTATCCATTCAAAGATAGAACCTGGTTAGAACCATCAGACATTTCATCTTGATTCTGATTCTTCTTTAGGGTATTATTGGTCAGAGATATTTTGATGATAAGGGCTCTCTTGCAGAACCTTTCTTTATCTAAGTCCTAACTGGGTATGTATATAGTATCATTTGAACAGTGAGGAACACAACTAAAAAGTTATTTAAGAGGGTCCCTGGGACCATTAGTTAGTTTAATGGCTATGTCACTGAACTCCCATGTAGTCAACCGTGGTTAGAGTCCCTGACCTGGTGACTTAAACTCACGCCGGGTGCATGTGCGTATGTGCCCAAGATCCTGAGAGGAGAATGGAGGAGAAGGGATTGCAGTGTGGCCATCCCCCCTGGGGGGTGATTTCTCGCTTTCTATCTCTCTGTCTCTCTCTGTCTTTCTAGCAAGCGCACATGCCCTATAGCAAAAACCTCTCCAAAAAAATAATAATAATAATAATAGAGGGTCCCTTATGCTAATCATTAAATTTGAAATCTTGCCAATTAAGAGATACTGCCTTGTTATGGGGTTTTGTATCATCACATAATTTTCAAAGGGAAATTTGTTTCGTCTGGACAAGAGAATATCTTTGCTCTTTCCTATTTTTTTAAAGACTCTCCTTACTTTTCTAAAAATAATATTTTATTGTTTTAAGAGGAGGGTAAATCCAGTTGTCTAGAATAACTTTCACAATGCTATCTTGATCAGAAGACAGAGAGATACTGAATATGCCAAAAACGGAGTTATAGCACAGAGACTAAAGCCAGGTTAAGACTTCTTCCTTGTGGTTCATCTATACCTCAAGCTAAAATTTCTTCTCCAAAAAGGTCAGGAAAATACTTTATTTTGCTTGTTTTTAAATATTACAAAACAATATTTTTGTAACAATATTTAGAAAAACATTTAGAAAAGAAAAACTAGGGGTAAGTCATGGCCTCGTGTAACAATTATTTTGTGTATTTCCTCTCATAATTTGTTATGCAAATATTTCAGAGAATAATACACAAATTAACCAGTAGACAGCACCTTCTTTTGTCCATAGTTTCATAGATAAGATCTCACTTTTTGGCAAAGTATAGACTAGCACAAAACAGTTATTCTCTCTACTTTCTATTTAATTAGGTGTTGAAAAACATTTCACTATTCAGTATGGCTTTATAAAAGAAGCCCCATCTGTACAAATTGGTTTGTCGAGAGAATGGGCTTAGTTTTTAGTTCTCCTGATCCCCCAAATTGGACTGTTTCTCTACTGCCTCCCCTTTCCCTTTAAAAGCTAAGTAAAAAGTTTATAAAGTTTAAACCTTCCATTTTTTAAGTTTTGAGTCCTGTGCCTCAGTCAACCTTTTCAATATCAGAGAATAGATCAAAGCTGGTCTATGGCAACGTTGTCACCTACATTTTCTACATTTTGGTATTCAAATATTTTCTTTATGAAATGATTACAGTGGTAGATTTTTTTTTCTCTTGATGTTCTTCCTTACTCAGCTACATTTAAAAGACTAGAACCTATGACAGTCTTCTTTCTATGTATGTGTACTTGTCTATCTGTGTATCTACTTTTTCACTAAGAATCTGTGAAAGCTTGTGGTAGCTGGCTATTCTGGTATGAAATTTTCTAAGATAATTTTTTATTTATTTTTGTATTTATTTTTTGGAGAGGTTTTTCCTATAGAGAGTGCACGCTCGTCAGACAGAGGGAGAGAGACAGAGAGACAGAAAGCGAGAAATCACCCCTCAGGGGGGATGGCCACACCGCAATCCTGTCTCCTCCATTCTCCTCTTGGGATCTTGGGCATGCATGCACATGCCCCAGCGTGAGTTTTTTAAGCCACCGAGTCCAGGACTCGAACCACGGTCAACTACATCGGAGTCCAGCGACATAGCCATTACGCTAACTGCTGGCCCCACAAAATAAAAGATAACTTGACTTATTAGTCTTTGGTTTTAGTGACCAGTCCCCATAACTATTTCTCTGTATTTTAATCCATAGTTGCTTCTTATGTAAGGGTGATATTAATAAGCTTCATTATCTAATATTGTTTTAATGAAGACTAGTAACTGATAAACTAGAATTACATTCGCAAATTTTAAAGAAAAATTCTGATTTTCTAAATTTGATTTTTGGTTTAAAAACGTGATGAACATATTGTCAGACCTATCATTATTTACAGGTTTACCTAAAAATGATATGGTAACACATCTTAAACAATCAGTGACCGATTTTAAACAAGAGCTGCCTATCATCACAGCTCTGGGAAACCCATGTCTCAGGCCAAGGCATTGGGAGGCTCTTCAGGAGATTATTGGAAAGTCAGTTTCCCTTGATAAAAACTGTACAGTAGAGAATCTTCTAGCCCTCAAGGTAAATAAAAATAGTTTTTTAAAAAAATGAATGAAATACCAGAGGGACCAACTTTAAATAGGTAAGTTAACTCTATAAGGACTAGGAATTAGAAAATGGAGACATTTATAAATTGCCTGAGAAAATAAGAGTATAGTATTAGTACATTAGTAGACAGTATAGGTAACAGGAAATTAATTTGAAAATATTGGGTAAGGTATTCATTATGTTATTATTATCTACACTATAATACTTTTTTATTTTTAATGCATGAAAAATGAAATTCTATTATTGTTTAACAGTACTACTTCTTATAGAGAATATATTTTATATGAATAGAGAAATCAAAACTACTGTATTTTGCTGTGCACATGTGTATGCATGACCGAGATCCTGGGAGGAGAATGGAGAAGGGATTGCAGCATGGCCATTCTCCTTGGGGGGGTGATTTCCCACTTTCTCTCTCACTGTCTTTGTCTCTTTCTCTCTGGTGAGTGCATATGCCCTAAAGCAAAAATCTCTAAAAAATTAAAATAAAACTACTGTATTTCATTTTACATAAAATGAAACATATTAAGAGCATGTTAGAATAACCCCACCAATAAATCAATGTTATATTTAAAATGCATGCTTAGCAATGTTAGAATAACCCTGTCAATAAATCAATGTTATATTTAAAATGCATGCTTAGCAACTAGATTTGCAATGAAACTTTTATTATTAAAATATAATTATTCCAATATTTCATGATAAAAAGCTTTCTGTTTTCATTTCTAGCTTACAATAAGCTTCATTTATGTTTAATGACATAATATAATTTAATTAAAACCAGATTTATAGCCTATAACTTTTTACTAAATAACTTGTTATAATGAGGACCATGAGAAAAAAATTTTGAAGGTTTTTAAGAAGACGACTTTAATTCATTTTAAACATTAGATTATTTTGTGTCTAAGCCTAATAGTAACCTCCTTCCTGGACTCTCGGTTCACATATTCAATTTTCTTTTCCTTTTTTTTCTGTTTTTTAATTTATCAGGTGGTGCTTTTGCTTACCAAAGAGAGGGAGAGATAGAAAGAGAAGGGGAGGGAGAGAAAGTGAAAAAGCATCTCCCATGGGGAATGGTAATGTCGCAATTTCTTCTCCATGTCTCCCTCCTTTCAATATTTCGGGTGCACACAGACACATTCATGACAAGCTTTTCCAAGCCTTTGGATCCTGGACATGAACTGCACCATTGGTACTGGGGGCTCAGCCTCCTTAACAATCCCACCACCAACTGGCCCCCAGTTTTCTATTCAGTATCTCCACTATATGTCTAAGAGATATCTTAAAATTAACATGTCTAAAATTTACTTTCTATTCTCCACCTCCCAAGTTCTGCTCTTTTTTGTTGCTATTGTTGTTAGAGGTTTTTGCCTAAGAGAGTGTGCAATCACCAAAGAAAGAGAGAGACAGAGATAGTGAGGGGAGAAAGTGAGAAATCACCCTCCAGAGGGGATGACCATGCCACAATCCTTTCTCCTCCCAGGGTCTTGGGCATGCATGCACATGCACCTGGCATGAGTTTCAAGCCACTGGGTCTGAGACTTGAACCACAATCGGGCATGTAGGAGTCCAGCAATGTAACTGCTAGGTAGAGGGGAGCAGTTGGTCGCCTACACTGGGTTGGTGGCCAATACTACCTTAAAGGGTTCCAGTAAGCTATCCTTACATTTCTAACATGAATTAATAGTTAAAAAAAGGAAATTCTGTTCAGGGTTTGGAGGGTCGAAATTAGGATATTTCAACATCTAAACAAAAGGTAACAAGGTCTTCAGCCTCTGTAATACCATAACCAGAAATTACAAGAACCTCTTCTCCTTCTTCAAGTTAATTATAATTATAATAGGAATAAGGAGGCAATCAGTTTGTAATCTCAAGTGAACCCTAAGAGTTCCTGGATGCTTTTGGTCATCCTGTGGAAATTTGACAGTTCAATTCAGTATAATGTAGGTGCCTAGATGGATAGAATTTGGCCCCCAAACTCAGCTTTCATTTATTAAAGCTTGCATTTCTTGAGGGTGACCCAGAGAGGGTGGTCATCCTGACAACTTTCCAGGATAGGTACATTATAAGTTCATTTGCAGTCCTATCAAATCAATAAATTATGATGTCATACAGTTATATGACAGCATCTGTCCAAGACGTTGTATAGACTCTGAAAAAGCCTATCACATGAAAACCCTGTCATAAAGTAAATGAAGAGGAAGAAGTCAATGGTATGAATATGATGAACACTCTCACTTTATAATTCATCATTTGCACAAAAGCCATGTGCTTTATAAGACATATAGGTGATTAATTACAGGCATTGAGATCCATCTGAACCACCTAGATATTACCAAATGAACTGAAAGATATATCAAAGTCCCAAACTTTGATCATAGAGATTTGACAGGGTTAGATTAATTTGGCCAAAATGTTGCTTTATATATTATCAGTGTCTGGATTTCATTTTTAGCAATCTCAGAATGTTAGCTGGAGGCAAAAAATTTTTTATTCAGCATAGAACTTTGATGATCCTATGGTTTCTTATCTACCTTAGGTTCAGTAAGCTATGTTAGAAGGTTAATCTCTCCCTCAAAGCTGCTACTTAAAGCCATAAGTTGTTGTCAGGCCCATAAGAGAGATGACAAAAATAAGTCATATCTATTCATTGTTCTCATTGAGCTGCATTACCAAAAACATAGGGATTAGGCACCATTCTTTAAACTCATGCAGATGACATATCCAGCAGCTTGAAGAAACATGCCAGGTACATATGCCCAAAGTTTTGAAAGAAGGGAGAAAAGGAGAAAGAACTGCAGCATGCCCATTCCCCATGAAGGATGCTTCCTCTTCTCCCCCACCCCCAGTGAGTACATGTACTCACTAGCAAAACAAAACAAAAGAAAATAAGCTTAAAAGTGCTATGTTATAAAGATTAAGCCATGAAGGGCTAGGCCATGAACTCTGATTAGGATGTAAACATAACTGGATTCAGATCTTTAATTTTTTAGACATACCTTTGAAAATGTGCTTTTAAATCTCCCATTTAAAATGTATCAATAATTACTTGTTCCTCTAGATATTAAAGAATTTTATTCATTTTAGATGTTTCAGTATGAAAATGAAATAAATGACATATCAACCTCAGCAACTAATGAAGCTACTCTTGAAAAAATGTTATTCAAGATTATTGATCTGTGGAACACTACACCTTTACATTTAGTTCCTCATCAGACAGAGGCTTCCTCTATACTAATAGTTTCATCTGTAGATGATGTACTAACTCAGTTAGAAGAGTCTCAAGTCATACTTGCAACAATTAAAGGATCTTCCTATATTGGGCCCATTAAGGTAAATATAATGGCAAAGGGAATATGTTTTAATTTTCTACTGTTTTATTTAATTTTATGCATCTTATAATTTTGCATTTGCTTTTGAATTATATATATCATTCATATGATTGTTCAGAAATGAAGTGGAATATTTAGCCATTTGAATACTAAAAACAATGTTTTATGGAAACATTAATTTTTCATTAGGAAATGTCTGAAGGTTTCATTCAGGTGGGTAAAATAAATTTAGAATATATAAAATTATGACCTTATAAACCATGACTTTTACCGGCAAAAGTCAGTGTTTACTGATTATTCCTCACTAGGCAGCGTACATACATCTAATAACATAAGTAAGAACCATTTTTAAACTTCTGGAGATATTCAATAGTAAAATTAACATAACAGATTACACACAAAGGTGTATATATATGTATCTATATAGATAGATAGAAAAAGAGAAGTATGCACCTAACAAATAGAATTCATATTATTTACAAACACTTAAGGAAATGTCAGTTATTGGACCTTAGAGAAAAAAATTACAAAAAATAGGATTAAATTAAATAGAATGTAATCTCAAACCACATGCAGTAAGATTTTTTTTAAAAATCATAAAACAGCAATAAAGGTAAACAAAACACCCATTAAAAATGTAAGTTAAAAACAATCATCAGAATATACAATAAATGTAATCCAAATTTTTTATATTTGGAAATTAACAAGGTGGCCAACTGCAGTAATGCAGTGATGGCATGTTACTCTGTAATGTTGGAGCCATATGGAATATTGGGGTTTGGTTCCCAGTTGACCATTATGTGCTGGGTGTGCACACATGCCTGTGATCCTGCCGGCTGGGAAAACTGCAGGAAGGATCACAGAGTGAAACTCTCTGTTGAGGATGCCTATGTCTATCTTTCTCTCAATGAACAAATAAACTTTAAAAAATAAATAAATAATGAGAAAATTAATACAAAACTTTGTCACAATTGTCTAGATCCCTATGAAAATAAGTATTTAGAGCATCATATGTCTGTATTACAGAGTAAAATGGGTTTAATAAATGATAAACTAGATAGATTCAAGATGCTAAAAATGAACAGCACAAACATACAGACTTCCACTTCCAAGAAAACTGATATATAGATGCTATATTTACCATTCTACCAAAATATCCAAAGTAGATAAAACAAATTATATGGAACAATGGTTTTCAGGACACTGAACATTAGGCAATGAAGGATAAGGATCCCTGAGAGGGAGAAACAAACAAGGTACACCTATGCTTGTACCAACTTATTGCCTTTTCTTCTAGACCTTGACTGAAGGAAAAAGATATAAATCCAGATAAAATCTGGTAGACTCTGATATGAAAGGATGCTGCTGAATGTCTAGAGAGGCAGAGGAGGTTGAAGTTTGTAGACTCAAGTACCAGGAAAGACAGAGTTGTACCAAGAGAGAACTTCAGAGGTCTGTGAATGGTCCCTACTCAAGTATTCAGCATACACAATCAATGGCACATGAATGTGAAGAAACTACCAGAGGAAACAAACACTTGAGAGAATTCAAGTGGTTCAGACAGTTCTGGAATAATGCTTGCACCAACCAGTGACAACAGAAGTTCATCATACTCATAATTCATGAGCATTAGAGAGAATACTCAAGAGAGTTTTGCTACAGTAATGTGAAATAATGAGTCCTAGACTAAATGCTGCTCTTGTCCTCCCTAACAAATCTTAGAAGCAAGATTCAAAATACTGAAACTGTTTCTAAGTAACTTGACTGTATCCAAAACAAACTACAAGACAGTAGGAATACAAAAATATCCAGTACACAGCAAGTTAAAATTTATAATGTCTATAACCCAATTAAAGATTACCAGACTTTCAAAAAAATTGAAAAAGAATTCATAATGAAAAGAAAAACTAGTCAATGTAAACTAATTCTTAACTAACTCAGATCTTAGAATTAGAGATAAGGGCAGTAAAAAGTCATAAATATAACCTATATATTAAAAAGTTAAGTAGAGGGAACAGCAGTTGGCGTAATGGCTATGTTGCTGGACTCCCATGTAGTCCACCATGGATGGAGTCCTGGACCCGGTGGCTTAAACTCACGCTGGGTTCATGTATATATGCGTGCCCAAGATCCCAGGAAGAATAGAGAAGAGATTGGGGCGTGGTCATCCCCCAAGGGGTGATTTCTTGCTTTCTGTCTCTCTGTCTCTGTCTTTCTGGCGAGCGCATGCGCCCTATAGCAACCCCCCCCCCCCGCAAAAAAAAAAGTTAAGAAAAGATGTAGATACTATTTTTAAAAGACAAAAATTAAACTTCTAAAGAAAACAATATCTGAGATGAACAACACATTGGATGGAATTAACAGATTTAAAATTGCAGAATACCTAGGAACAAACCTAACCAAAGAAGTCAATGACCTCTACATGGAAAGCTATGAAAAACTAAAAAAAAAATAAAATAAAAATTGAAAATGACACAAAAAAGTGGAAAGACATCCCATGTTCTTGGATTGGAAGAATTAATATAATCAAAATGTCAATTCTATGCAAATTAATCTACATATTAAATGCAATCCCAATCAAATTAACAGGGATACTCTTCACAGATTTAGAAAAAACACAGAATTCGTCTGGAATCATAAAAGACTCTGTATGACCAAAGCAATACTGAAAAAAAATAGTGGAATAGAAGGCATCTCAGTCCCTTACCCCATAATATATTACAAACTTGGGGCCAGCAGGTGATGTGGTGGCTAAGGTACTGAACACTCCAATATGGTCAACCCATGGTTTCAGTCCCAGACAGGGTTGGGATTACATCAGGTTAAAAAGCTGCTGCATAGCAAAAGAAATATTAGAATGAAGGGATAACCTTCATAATAGGAGAATATATTTGCAAACTACACCTCAGATAAGGGACTGATAACCAGAATATACATGGAACTGAAGCAGGTCACCCAGAGGAAAAATTTAAAAAGATCAACCCTATTAAAAGAGGGACAAATGAGCTGAACAGACAACTCTCTAAGAAAGGCATGCAAACAGATAAAAATCTATGAAAAAATGGTCAATATCCCTTGTCATAAGGGAGATGCAAATCAAAACCATAGTGAGTACCATGTAATCCCAGTTTGAATGGCTAAGATTTAAAAAATAAAGAATGATAAATGCTAGTGAGGCTGTAGAGAAAAGGGAACTCTCCTACACTGTTGGTGGGAAAATAAATTAGTACAGCCACTGTGGAGAACAAGATGAAAATTCCTCACAGAACTACAAATAGAACTACCATATGATCCAGCAATTCCACTCCTGGGTTTTTCTGCCCAAAGGATGGGAATGCACTCTTAAAAACACTTGCACATCCATGTTTATTGCAGCATTATTCACAATTGCTAAGACATGGAACCAACCCAATGTCCATGAACAGACAAATGGATTGAAAAAGTGTGGCACATATACACTATGGAATATTACTGAGCCATAAAAAAAAGGAGAGACCCTAGCATTTGCCAGAAAGTGGATGAATATGGAAGATTTACTGCTAAGCAAAGCAAGCCAGATTATGAAAGAGAGACATTGTATATCCCCACTCAATATATACCAAATGTCTATACTCTATGGCAGAAACTGAAATATTAGATGGAATAAAGGCATGGAGAGCAACTGAGGATATCAGAGACAATGTGGGAGGAGAGTGGGAAATGGCAAAGAGTAAAAAGGAGGTAATCAAGGGGCAAAAGAATAAAGCAAAACATTTAAGAAACAGAAAATGGAAAATTATCTATTGATGATAATACGTATGGTAATATCTGTGTTAGTGACATTGTGTAAAGTATTTTCAACTCGCATGCTGTGTGGCATATATCATGTTGGGTAAAATCTCTTTACAAACTAAATGATGTATAATGAGTGAATGTGTAAATAATAATAAATAATAATAACAATAAAAAGATACTAGTTGAAAAAATGTTACCTATACAATATAATTTTCTGAAATTATCAAAAGAATGAAGAAAAACTAAATGTCTACATAAAACCTTTCTGGAAGGCAGTATTAAGTTAAGAAAATAAGAAAGTTACAAAATAATGTGTATAAAATGACTGCATTTATGTAAACCATTAAAAATAATACATGTACATATGTGCAATAGTGCTTAAAGAAAGGACTGCAATAATGTGCACACCAAACTCCTGATTATTTCCTCTTGATTGAAAATAGAAAATAAGGGTTGAGTGGGAGACATTCATGTTAATTTCTGTATACATGTGTGTGTCATTCAAGCATTTTAGAAAAAAATTTATCTATTGTATAATAAATAAGGGAGAAAATTGGATCAACAGAAAATCTTATGCCCCTACCAAAACTAAAATAAATTCACCTTTATGTGACCCTATATTAATTATATTCCATATGTCAATGAGTGATACTCACCTTTGATCTTAGTTCCTATTATTTGACTCTTATAGTGTAATTTCTTTTTTTTTTTTTTTTTTAGGGGTTTTTTTTTTTTTTTTTTTTTTTTTTTTTAGAGGTTTTTTTTTTTTTTTTTTTTTTGTGGCATGACCATCCCCCCGGGGGTGATTTTTTGCCAGAGAGACAGAAAGCGCCGAGAAATTATCCCCCATGGGGATGGCCACGCTGCAATCCCTTCTCCTCCATTCTCCTCTTGGGATCTTGGGCACACACGCACATGCGCCCAGCGTGAGTTTTAAGCCACCAGGTCCGGTACGCGAACCGCAGTCGACTATGTGGGAGTCCAGTGACATAGCCATTACGCCAACTACTGGTCCCATATAGTGTAATTTCTTATGTTTTGATTCAGATGTATGTGTTTTTGTCATTGTAGGATCTTGTGCATGAATGGGATCAAAACTTAACTCTCTTCTCTTATACTCTTGAGGAATGGATGAATTGTCAAAGAAATTGGCTTTATCTTGAGCCAATCTTTCAATCTTCAGAAATACAAAGGTAAAAACTTAAAATACCATATATAGGTAGAAAAAAGTGCACAGTGGGAAACTTACTTTCTGTAACCTTTGAGAAACCATTCCTTCAATGAACAAACCTACTGATACAAATGTAATCTGCTAAGTAATTATTTTTTCCTTTCATAAAAGATGACAAGCATTGCCTTTTTCAAAAGCATTATTTCTCGATTATTGATATGAAGATATAAAGGACAAGGGAAACATTGCCAAATACCTCATTATAATCCCTAACCCCAAATGTTATGTGTTTATTCAGCTCTAGAATATCAGTGTGGTTTTGATGTGAATAATAATATTTTTAGCAGCACTCATGCATTAATGAGAATTTCTTACCAGATGGAAGACTAGAAAACCTAAAATTTCTAAAAATTTTACCTTTTCTCTTTATTTAAAGCATTCAAACTTTTTAAAGTTTTAAGAGGTTGTAAGAGTGTTTTCCTTGAGACAGATAAATTTTCTAGGTAGAATTTGAACTGCTGACAGTAAATGATACAAACTAGTCTAGGAGCCTTTCTAAACACAAGTAGTAGATCATGCAGTATACGTTTAAAAGACTTTCAGCAATGGAAGACCTTGAGTATATGATTATTTTGAGCTTTATTTTGGGCACAAAGGAAAACCATTAGAATTTTATACAAGGGATGGTTTAAATGTGAGTGCTGCTTAGTAGGTAACAATAACCTTTTTTGTTGTATATGTATGCTTGTGTGCCTAAGATCCCAGGAGGATAATGGAGGAAAAGGAATTGTGGCATGACCATCCCCCCGGGGGTGATTTTTTGCTTTCCTTTTCTCTCTCTCTCTCTCTCTCTGTCTCTCGTGGATGCATGTGCCCCACTGAAGGCAAAAACCTCTAAAAAAAAAAAGTTCTTGTTCAATTCCCACTGCAGCAAAACCAAAACTAAAATCAACATACCAATGGATTATTGTACCATACCATGTGTAGGTTTTTTCTTCTCTTTTCCAAAGGGAGAAAACAAAGATAATATTCTGTAAAGAAAAATTTCTATACCAAAGTTAATATCTGCCTTACGTCTTATCCTCCAAGATTAGACAATTATGAATAAAACTTTGATTTTTTTTAATACTCATCTCTATAGTCTCCTAAGCCAAATACCTTCCCTACCTTCTCTTCCCATCAAAGCCCTACTCTTCCTGGGAACCAGCAGTTAGCGTAATGGCTATGTTGCTGGACTCCCACGTAGTCGACTGCAGTTCGTGTCCCGGACCCGGTGGCTTAAAACTCACGCCGGGCGCATGTGCATGCGTGCCCAAGATCCCGAGAGGAGAATGGAGGAGAAGGGATTGGCGGCGTGACCATCCCCCCTGGGGGGTGATTTCTCGCTTTCTGTCTTTATGTCTCTCTCTGTCTGTCTGGCGAGCGCACGCGCCCTACAGTGAAAATCTCTCCAAAAAAAAAAAAGAAAAGCCCTACTCTTCCTTTGAAACCAGATTAAATAGCTTCTTCTCTAAGAATCTCTTCCCAGATGCAATTCTCTAGAATTTCAGTAGCCTTTTATTTTATTATATTTCTTAGATCACAAATCATTTCTATTCACTTTATGTAGAACTGTGTAAGTCTATCTTCTACCACATACTACATATGATCTTGTTAAAGGACGGTTATATGTCTCATTCATCCTAGTATTTCTTATCATGTTCATCATTGTATATAATATGCACTCAAAAGGTATCTTTAATGAGTTATTGATCAGAAAAAATATAACATGTGAAAACATTTTATAAATTAAATAATATTCCTTGGCAAATGCATTTAAATAATAGATTTAATTACAATGCCTTCAAAATTTTTAATTACATCTATTGTATTTTTAAAGGCAGCTCCCAGCAGAAACAGCACTTTTCTCTCATGTGATTTCCATGTGGAAAGAAATAATATCAAAAATACAAAACAAACTGAATGCTTTCCAAATAAGCACCTCTGCAGGAGTCCTTGAAATAATGCAAAATTGCAATATACATCTTGAACACGTAAAGAAAAAACTTGAGGTAAATGTATAGCAATCCTAAAGTAGAGAGTAATATAATTCTACAAAAGTAATGCAATACACTAAAAAATAAATTCCAGTGAAAACTTTTTACTTTATACTAGCTGCCAGGAATTCTTTAAACTTTCTATGTCTATAGAATTAATAAAAATATTATCAAAAGAAAAAGTGGATGGGCTATTCTAAATGATCCTAAGCAAAGTACCAAAAGACAGTTAAGTCTAAATCTACCATGAGAGCGAGAAACAGAAAGAGAGAGTGAGAGAGAGAGAGAGAGAGAGAGTGAGAAATATCCTTAACAGAGCCTCATGCTGTGATCCAGCCCCCAGTCAGATAGGATCATGGTGCATACACTCTGTATGTACAGGTCAATTGGGGAACCAAACCCATGATCCAGCATTGGATTCAGCATCACTGTGTCACTCAGCTGGCTCCTAATTATTTTTCTTATAGTTAAGATGATAAATTTATTAAACATTGTATGTCCATAGACATAGAAAACTAAATCTTTGAGAAGTTCTGCTTTTGTCAACATGTTTTACTCTTTATTTGAAACTATTTCTTTAAGTGTATTTTTTTCATGAGAGAGAGAAAGAGGAAGAAAGAGGGAGACTGCCGTCTCCCCATTCCAGCCCCAGGCCTTCAGCCAGCTGGGATCACAAGCACATGTGCATACTCATCATGTACTTGTTGACCTGGGAAGCAAACCTTGATCTTCCATATGGCCTCTCATATCACAGAGTGTGGCGCTACCACTGTGGCTAGACTAGAAGAATTATAAGCAAGAAAGTGAAATAATTTAATTCAGAAATATCTCTCTACCAAGAAGCACAGAATATGGACCAAGGGCAGTGAGAATGGATATTGAAAAACCAGTTAAAAGACTAGAAATATTGGGACACTAGCGAAAGGTCATGGTGAAGATGACAGAGGTGGATCCAGGAGCATTGGATAGTTGAACAGAGAGTAAAGAGGTCCCAGATCATGCCTAGGCTTTCTGGCTTGACCAGGAAAGGAGAAGATAATTACGAAATGGAGATAGGCTCTAGAGGAGGAAAAAGCTTGGGTGAAAATAAGTATGTTTTGTTCATTTTAAAAATATAATATTTATGGGACATTTAAGTGAACATCTCCACTTGCTAGTAGGTTTGAAGATTTGGGGCAGAGAAGTGATCTGAGCTGAAGAGTAAGTGGGTTTGTGTCTGATAGCACAAGCAGAGCGTAATGAGCAGGAAGAGTGAGGAGGATGAAACTCAGGAGACATTAACATAACCTTGTAGGGGACAAAGAAGAATTTTTGAGGATAATGGCTGAGGGATGGAGGGAAAACAATAAAAATTCTGGAACTGAAAAGAAAGGGCAGAATCAACAGGGTCAGATGCTGCGGAAATACCATGTAACATAAGGACTGAAAAGCACCAATAAGTTTGTTTACGGTGAGGGCCAGATGGCAGAAAATGAGATGACAGAGAGGTGAGTAAATGAAGACTCAGTTTATAGATGATCTTTTGAAGAGTTCTGAATATGGAGAGAAGCTGGGCAAGTAGACAGGAGCTGGAGGAGAACAAAAGAAAAAGGACGGGAGTATACATATTTTTAATAACAGAAACTTAAGGGGGAGGCCTGAAAGGGAACAAGGAAGACATAGGAGAATGATAAATAAAGCGCGGGTCTCCTTGCCTGGCGTAGTGAATAGGTATCTCTTTGAAAAGAAGGAAAGACTTCAGACTGGTGTAAATGCAGCTGAACTGTAGGGAGAGATGCACCATGGAGGGATTCTCTGTACAGTAGAGTGCGAGGTCATCTGTGAAATGATAACATGATCTTTCAGGTGGTAACTCCACATACACAGAAATATGAGCAGAAAGAAGAAAACATGGGAAAGCAACACCGATGATAACTTAAATCCACTGCTTTATTAGTGAGCCAGAAAAAAATTGTGTGTGTGTGTGTTGGGGGCGGGGGGTAGGGTATTTTTTTTATTTCTGTTTTCATTAGTTTTGCTTTTAAACTTTTTTAGCAACTCAAATATAACTCTCATTGAGCATGGAATGTGATTTTGACCAGTAGTGCTTGCATACGATCATACTGTGGCTTTGTATGTATAAACATAGGCCCAAATGAGAATGCAATTTGTATCATGTTTAAATATATATTCTGAACTGCCTTTCTTTTGGTTCTGAACAGGACTACCTTGAAATTAAAAGAATGATTTTCCCTAGATTCTATTTTCTTAGCAATGCTGAACTTCTTGATATTCTAGCTGACAGCAAAAATCCTGACTCAGTACAGGTAATAACATGATTCTCTGTTCAGCAATATTATTTTCTGGTCAGGTCAAGATTTTATGTTACTGACATTGGTTTCTGGATCACAGCCTCATCTCGTGAAATGTTTTGAAAATATAAGACAATTATTGATATGGAAACAAGAAATTGGCCCTCCTGCTGTAAAAATGATTATATCTGCTGAAGGAGAAGGTCTTGTGCTACCGAAGTATGATAAAAATGTTACAAACTATTGATAAATGTTTAGACTCCATAAAACCTTATTATATAAGATTTTCTGCTTTGAAATGTCTGATATTTCATGGAAGTTTGCTAAGTATTATTTTAAAGATAATATTGTTAGACAAATACACTTTTACTTACTTTGTTTTTTCAGTTAGTTAGTTTGTTCTGTTTTAGCTATAGAATGTGTGTGCTTGCCAGAGAGACAGAAAGAGAAATGAGAGCGCACCTCCCCAGGCAAAATGGCCATGCCACAATCCCTTCTCCATTTTCCTTTTTGAGGCTTAGGGCACAAACAACAGGCGTGTTTTCTAGGCTGCTAGCTTGGGACTCAAACCATGCTGTTGGCCATGTGGGATTCAGCCTCCTTAAGGATTCAGCCTCCTTAACTATCACAACTCTGGCTGACCCTCACTTTTGCTTTAACTAAAAGGGAAATGATCTTCAAACTCAGTGCTTTCTATTTTGTACCTACCTTTTTCTCTGTCATTCAATTCTGACTTAAGTTTACAACTATCCTTTTAATAGTTATCTTTTTTTTTTTTTTTTTTTGGTTTTGCCATCGGGTGCATGCACTTGAGAGACAGAGAGAGGGTGAGAAACCACTCCTTAGGGGGCATGGTCACATTGCAATCCCTTCTACTCCATTGTTTTCTCAGGATTTTGGGTTTGCATGCACATGTGCTTGGAGTGATTTTCAGGAATCTAGGTTCAGGACTTGAACTATGATTGGCCATGTTGGAATTCAGCACCTTAACCACCATAACATTGGTTTTATTTTAAAAAGTAGATAGGAAGGAAATTTCCTGTGTTTAGGGCTGTTGATGTGACTCCCACTGCTGCTTCCACTGACCTCTGGTCTCATCACAATCAGCTCGCAGGCCATTAAAACATTCTAGATCCTGCTGTTACACTGGTCCAATCTGCCAGCCTTCTTACCCATCAAAACCCCCAACGTAACCTTACTGTTTAAGAATCAGTGAGGAATCTGGGACCAGCAGATGACAATGGTTATGTCGCTGGACTCTCACATGGTTGATCACAGTTCAAGGCCCAGACCTGGCATTTTTTTTTTCTTTTTTTGAGATGTTTTCGCTATAGGGCACGTGCGCTCGCCAGACAAACAGAGAGAGACAGAGAGACAGAAAGTGAGAAATCTCCCCCCAGGGGGGATGGTCACGCCACAATCCCTTCTCCTCCATTCTCCTCTCGGGATCTTGGGCACGCACGCACACGCGCCCGGCGTGAGTTTTAAGCCACCTGGTCCGGGACACGAACCGCGATCGACTACGTGGGAGTCCAGTGACATAGCCATTACTCTAACTGCTGGTTCCCCAGAAAAGTCATGCTGGATGTGTGCATGCATGCCCAAAATCCTGAGAGGAGAATGGAAGAGAAGGGATTGGGGTGTGGCCATTCTCCTGGGAGATGGGTTCTCATTCTGTCTCTCTGTCTCTATCTCTGGTGAGCTCACATGTCCTATACCAAAAATCTCTCTAAAATCTAAAAATAGAAAAGTGATTCAGTGAAGAACCTAAAAACGTTTTGTAATACAACTTATCCATCTTATAAATTTATAATTTACCTGGTCCTATTTATTGTATAAGTCCATGGTTTTGATGTCAGAATTTCCTAAAGCCAGGAAAAATACTTTTTTTCCAAATTAAGATCTAGAAACACTCAAAGAGTTTATACAATTATAGTCCTTTGGTTCATGAATATTAAATGTGTATAGAAAACTTAACCTATGGGCTCATCAAAGGACTGAAACATAAGTTAAAAAATTATTCATTGTTTTCTAAATAAATTGTAGGAAAATTCGTGTAAGAAGTGCTGTGGAACAGTGGCTGGTAAATGTAGAAAAAAGCATGTTTGGTGTGCTAAAAAAGTAAGTACAATTTTCAGATCCTGAAAGTAAATAATATGGGTGTGTGTGTGTGTGTGTGTGTGTGTAATTTTTAAAAACTTGGTTGTTTACTAATTTAAGTGGGAACTGGTCAGAAAAGTAGAAGGAGTGAAGTCCCTTATGAATTTTGATATAGCATAATGTCACAGGACTCAATGAAAATCATTTTTACAGTGTTAATGTTAGAGTGAGGATGTAATCATGGACAACATTCAGTTTTGTGTATGTTGAGATTCACATGGATCTGAAAACTGGCTAGGGTCTGAAATCATGTCTACTGCTGCCTTTTTAAAGGCTGCTGCTCAGGAGGCCTCCAGTGTCAGCCTCTCTACTTTACATTTCAGTTCCACCTTTCCTCCCCAGAATCAGGTACTCATTTTAATCTTTTTAATGTTCTCTTTTTTATATTTCAACCTACTATTTTTATCTGTTAGAGTGAAAAAGAACCTCACTCTATGAACTTTTAAGACTTACCTGACTAGAACAGCTTCTAGTACATTTCTAATATTTTATTATTGGTTATAGAAAGGCTATTAATCTTTAAGTATCCATATCTATATTTATTAATATTATTAAATGCCAATGCAAGATTTCTTTTTTTTTTTTTTTTGAGAGGTTTTTGCTATAGGGCGTGTGCACTTGCCAGAAAGACAGAGAGAGAGATAGAGACAGACAGAAAGCGAGAAATCACCCCCCGAGGGGATAGCCATGCCACAATCCCTTCTCCTTTGTTCTCCTCTCAGGATCTTGGGCATGCACGCACACGCGCCCAGTGTGAGTTTAAGCCACCGGGTCCAGGACTCGAACCGCAGTCGACTACATGGGAGTCCAGCGACATAGCCGTTACACTAACTGCTGGTGCCAGCAATGCAAGATTTCTAGAGCAGAGCAGAAATATGTTTACTAATACTAATAACAACCATTGACTCTCTTTGGCCTCAATTCTAATACTTGAGGTAATACAATAAGAACCAATGTCATCTTATACATAAGAAAGGGCTTTGTAGACAAGGAACCCTGAAAAATTAATCTAGCCATTCGTATTAGGCAAGTATTTTTTTTTCAGTTGATGTCCTAGGATTTTTCTGGTTAAATGATTGTATCATTTGCTAAAAATGATAGTTGTGCCACTTCTTTCATAATTTTTAAAAATTGTTTTCTTTTCTTTTTTGAGAAGTTTTTGCTATAGGGTGCATGTGCTCGCCAGAAAGAAAGAGATAGAGAGACAGAAAGCAAGAAATCACCCCCTGGTGGTATGGCCATGCCACAATCCCTTCTCCTCCATTTTCCTCTCGGGATCTTGGGCATGCACGTACACATGCCCAGCGTGAGTTTAAGCCACTGGGTCCTGGACTCGAACTGCAGTCAACTACATGGGAGTCCAGCAATGCAGCCATTATGCCAACTGCTTGTCCCATCTTTTTATGTTGTTTTCATGACAAATTTTGTATAATGTGAAAAGTACAGATGACATTGAGCATCCTTTATTGTTGTTCTTAATTTTATTGGGAAAGCATCCAGTGTTTGACCATGATGCTTAGGTTTCAGGAAATGTAAAACTTCTGTATGAAAAACGATGTCATGACAATATCAAAACGTATACTGTTGGCACATATTAACTTTGGTCTTAAACAAAATAGTCTGGATATTTTTCATAAATCCTATCCTCTCCATTGCAATTAAGTTTTAAAGCTAAATCGGGGACTTTAGCGTTATAATTTTTCTGGTGGTTCCAGCCAAAAGAACGTTGTTTCTTCCATTTTAGAAGTCATTTTAGATACAGATTTTGCTATCAACAGTATTAACAATTCAAAGCTAATTTGTGTCATCTCCAGGTTTAATATATTTTATTTTTATTACCTCAGAATGTCAATGGCCTCATTAGAAAATATATTAATGAGGAATTTAAGAACTATGCAACATGTATGAATTAAAGCCCTGTCAGATCCTGCAATATACATATTTAAATTACAACAACATCAGAGATCTTAAAGCAAAATTACTCTGTGATCTTATGCTTCATCACTACATGACCACAATCAGTGATTATATATAAATAATATAAATGATTTTCTTTTGTTTATAGACTTTTAAGTCAAGGAGTTGAAGACTGGAAATGCCAAACGTTTTCTCAATGGGTGGTATCTCATCCAGGACAAGTGGTACTCACTGTGGTAAGTTAATGCTGCTTTGATGAGTATGTGTGAATGTGTGAGTATGAGTGTGTGTGTGTGTGTGTGTGTGTGTGTGCTGTGTATATATTTAGTTTGTGGCTACAATGCCAAGAAAGTAAATATTTAAAAGTAAATTATGTAGTGATATCTGTAGTTTACTTTGAAATATATTTAAAAAATAAAGTGGACAAATACCATCACAAATAGATTGGTGATAAATACAGCAAAAAGTTCATTGTAGACTATTGGTGGTAGGTATATGGGTATTCACTGTATAATTCATTCAACTCTTCTATAGTTTTGAGAATTTTTATAATATATTGTTGAATATAAGTAGGTCATAAATCATTTTCCCAGGATTTAACTATGTTATTAATTTTCTCCTGCTGTTATTTAAAAGTTACTTCAAACTTCATGACTTGGAAACACCAATTTATTTAATTACATTCTATAGGTCAGAAGGCCAACGCAGGTCTCCCTGGGCTCAGGTCAAAGTGTCAGAAGGGCTATGTTCCTTTCTGAAGACTCTCCAGGAAATCCATTGCCATTTCCAGCTACCAGAGGCCACTGGCATTCCTTGACTCATGGCCCCTTCCTCCATCTTCAACACCAGAAATATTCCATCTCTCTATCATTACGCTGTAGTAATCAGTCCCTTTGTTCACAGGCAGAAAAAGTCCTTTGATTTTAAGGAAACATAGGATTACATTGAACCTGCCTGGATAATCCAGAATAATCCTCTCATCTGTAGGTTCTTAGTTTAATCACATCCAGAGTCCCCTTTTCCATGTAAGGGGACATACTCACAGATTCCAGGGATTAGGATGTTTATCTCTTCACAGAAGTAATTTTACTGCCTACCATATGCAGATAAGGGGACTTGCAAAATTTTGAGAAAAAAGTAAAGTAAAAATTATTTTGGTAAAAAAAAATCTGAAATCCACGCATAATTTTTTCATAGCTTGTATTTTCCATAAATTTTTTGAAGACCCTTTATATTTACTAAAGCTAATGATTATTTTTGGAGCTCAGAATAGAAAGAGAAGAAAAACTGGGAAAATGGGTTGTGAAAAAAAACAGATCTGAAAGTTCTTTTTGTTTTTGTTTTTTACTTTTGTTTTTGTTTTTTTGTTTGTTTGTTTGTTTGTTTTTGAGAGGTTTTTGCTAAAGGGCACGTGCGCTCGACAGAGAAAGACATAGAGACAGAAAGTGAGAAATCACCCCCCAGAGGGGATGACCACGCCGCAATCCCTTCTCCTCCATTCTCCTCTCGGGATCTTGGGCACGCACATACACGCGCCCAGCATGAGTTTTAAGCCACTGGGTCCAGGACATGAACCATGGTCGACTACGTGGGAGTCCAGCGACATAGCCATTACACTAATTTCTAGTCCCAGAACTGAAAGTTTTTGAGAAATAGCGGTTGAAGCCAAGGGAGAGGTGAAATTCCCCCCAGCAGAATGTGTGAAGAACATGAGGAAATCCCCAAAAAGGCCGGAAAAAAAGCACCAGGAAAAAGAAAAATAAAAAAGGGGGGTTGAATTATAGGAGTTGTCATGGAAACTAGAGAAAAGAAAAAGACTTTTTCCTTTACTTTTTCCCTAGAAAATTGAGTGGTCATCAAAAAAGTAAGTTGTCATAATTTTTAAAGAATCTAGAAAAATCTGAAAACTCTATCAATTTTAAGAGTCAATATAAATGTTGGAGGCAGTAGTTATTCTGTAGTGATGAAGGTAGAAACCATATTGCTATGAGTTACCACTATTGAGTAGTTTTAATGCCTTCCTGATTTGCAGTTCAGTATTCAGGTTCAAAAGTAATATAATAATATTACCTCTTTTTACTTTGCCTTGACCCAGCACAATTTCAAATCTTTGTTAAATTAATCTGGGACTGTGGACTTAGGTTATGGTTATTAAATCTTCTTGGTCAAGTACTTTTGCTTTCTATTTGACCGAATATTGACAAAATACCATGAGGATACTTTTTCTTTTTTTGGATGTTTTTGCCATAGGACACTTGTGCTGGCCAGAGAGAAACAAAGAGAGGGGAGGGAAGAAATCACACCCCAGGAGGGATGCCCATGCCAAAATCCTTTCTCCTCTGTTTTTCTCTCAGGATTTTAGACATGTACACACACATACCGGGTGCGATTTTCAGGCTGCAGGGTCTGGGACTTAAACCATGGTAGACAAAGTGGAATTCCACTTTCACTACTATCTCACCTGCTGGACCCAAGGACAATTATTCTTTACAAGGTGACAAATGATAATTAATTGATCTGCATATTTCTGTAGATTAACAGGAATTCAAATAACCAAATATGCTTTGCTACAAAGATCTTCCCCAGATTCCTAGTCATCCAAATATAAAGAACAATAAACAGCAGCTATATTGTTTCCAGAAGTATTTCATAATAGACTGAAGTGTCAATCATTGAATGTACTTTTGCCAAATTTTTTTACATCCACCCTACAGTTGCTAATTTCTCATTCCAGGATGCAACCTACAGCTCCTCTTTCTTTTGCTTATGTCACATGATTAGGAATTAGCTCTGAATGGATATAAAATGACATCTATGAGGGAATGGGGATGATGAAATGTCTGCATGCATTGGCTACTGAGAGGATTTCAATATGGATTTATCCAAGATAGAGTGATTAAGAATCCCTCTGTAAAGAAACAACAGCTGGGGAACAGCAGTTGGCATGGTGGTTAAGGCGCTGGATACTCCCACATGGCCAACCAGGGTTTGAGTCCTGAATCTGCTGGCTTGCTTTCTCGGTTCCTCTCTCTCTCACTCTCACCCTCTGTCTCTCTCTGGTCAAACTAAAAAATAAATGAATGAATAAATAAAATAAAATTAAATAAATAATTATTTTAAAAAAGAAAGAAATATCAACAAAACTCTGACTCCCAATTTCCCTCACTAGAACCAAACCATCTTTTCACCTACAATGATACAGCCTAGGGAGGGGACTCAGTCCATTGTTTGCTTTCTCCTGAGGCTATGAACCTTGAATTACCGTCTCAAGCACAGCAGTATAGTGGCATCTGACGGGACTCTACTGTGACATGACCTTGACTATGGTTCCTGCTGCCTTGTCTCAGGCTCTTATTCCTGACCACTACCCAAGCCTCAATTTCTAGCCTCCAAACAGTGTGCTGGTTATGAGTCTGCGACATCCTTTAGGAAAGTCAGAATTGGTTTCTGTTGCCCGTGACCAAGAATGCTTATTGTTACACTAGGTTACCGACCTGTACCCTTTTATCTTGCTTTAGAAGAAAGATATATATATATATAGATAGATAGATAGATAGATAGATCTATAGATATATACCTATATCTATAGATATATATAAAACCTCTCTATATATATGTAATACATATTAAATAACCTCTATATAAAATATATTTTTTATATATATATTTCAAAGTCAATATATCCTAAAATGAATTAATTATGCCCCCTCGCCCCCAACATATTTTTCTTCCAATAGGTACTATCTCTTAGTGAATGAGTAGAATCGTGATTTATCCAGTAGTACAGGCCAGAAACCTTTAAGCTATGTTGATAGAGCCTCCTTCTCTAACTGTAACCCAACCTTAATCCAGTAGTCTTCTTAGAACAGTTCTGGAATATATGGGAAGATTTAAATGTGAAAAAATATATATCATGTAAAAAAAACTATATGAACTTTCTGAAAACTATTATTATAAACTTAATGTGTTCTAGGTATATTACTTTCTGAGTTCAATGGAAAAAGCAACACAAATTTCATCTTGAAGTTTTCTACCATTGTTACTGCCCCAGGTTATTACTTCGTGTTAATAGATTAAGAATACAAGATTTAGAAAGTGTAAATGACTAAGGCCCCCACAAACAGCCAAAATTCAATCTTTAACCCTCAAATACATGCAAATGTGTAAGTGGTTTCTTTTACACACACACAAATGCAGTCACCCATACACACACCACATATACTTCATGAAAATATGTTTTAATTTAAAATAAAATTTATGTTTTTAATTATCATATATATGTCTTACTTTTCAGAGCCAGATCATGTTTTATAGTGATTGTATCCAAAGTTTTGTGAGTTCCCAAGCCAGAGAAGAGTTGGAAAAAGTCCACGCCAGTTTGATATGTTACCTAGAAGAGGTTGCAGAGCTGGTAGTGCTGGATACTAGTAACTCTAGAACAAAAGCTGTGCTAGAGGGACTGCTTACCATTTACGTTCACTGCAGAGATACAGTGTCAAATTTATTACTTAAAAATATCTTCAGTGCAGAGGATTTTGAGTGGACAAGGTAGGTAGATCTAAATTATATTTCCACATGCAATAGCTTCTTACAGACATATCTTTAGGTAAATCAATTTTCTTTTTTTTAATTTATTCATTTATTTATTTTAATTTGACCAGAGAGAGAGAGAGAGACAGTGAGAAGGCAAGCTGCCAGGCCCAGGACTTGAACCATAGTCAGCCATATGGGAGTGTCCAGTGCCTTAACCACCATGCCACCTGCTGGTTCCTGGTAAATTGATTTTCTTTTTCAAACTCTGTCAAAGTTTTAATTTGGGGCATTTACTGAAATTCCAAGGCAACTCTACCGATTTGAGTACCATATTCCTATACTTCCTTCTTTCCCTTTTCTACTGTCTTTCCCCCTTATTTTTACTTCTTTTTGCTTTATCTTCCTGACCTGATTATGTTCTTATGATAGAACATCTTTTCCTTTTGCTATTCAGCAAGAGGGCAGAAGTTTTCAATGGGTAGTGAGAGCTCTACTTCAAGCCTCTTATTTCCCCTATGGAGCAGCCTCTACAGCGTCTGGTCACACCGCCATCCCCCTCGTCCAGTCCTCCAGTTTGATCTTGGGCACTTATGCACATGCCTGGCATGTTTCAGGCTGACTAGGTCAGGAATTTGAACCATGGCTACCACATATGATCCAGCTTCTCTTCAGCAGTGAATCACCCCTACACCACAGACCTAGTCCCGATCTTTTTTGATACTTGGAACAACTAAAATTTTCCTCAAGTACCCTTATAATAAGGAACTAGATTAAAATAAACAGTGTCTTCAGTTACATTTTTTTTTTTGGAGAGATTTTCACTGTAGGGCGCGTGCGCTCGCCAGACAGACAGAGAGAGAGACATAGAGACAGAAAGTGAGAAATCACCCCCCAGGGGGCGATCCAGCTTCTCTTCAGCGGTGAATCACTCCTATACCACAGACCTAGTCCCGATCTTTTTTGATACTTGGAACAACTAAAATCTTCCTCATATAATAAGGAACAACTAAAATCTTCCCTTATAATAAGGAACTAAATGAAAATAAACAGTGTCTTCAGTTACATTCTTACAGGAAACCTTAGCAAACTTGGTAGGGCGGATTCTTTTTTGGGGCGGAGAGGTTTTTGCTATAGGGCGCATGCGCTTGCCAGAAAAACAGAGAGACAGAGAAACAGAAAGCGAGAAATCACTCCCCAGAGGGGATGGCCACGCCACAATCCCTTCTCCTCCCAGGATCTTGAGCACACATGCACACATGCCCTGCATGAGTTTAAGCCTCTGGGTCTGGATCTCGAACTACGGTCAACTACATGGGAGTCAAGTGACATAGCCATTACGCCATCTGCTGGTCCCGGTAGGGCTGATTCTTATGTACATCCTCTGTTTAGGCTGGCATCACACCGAAGCAGCATGATTCAGCAAGGCTGTTTCCTCAAAGGGAAGAGTGCTCATATGTTTGCAGTCTTCAGAATTCCACTATTTCATACTTAATTCAGTTCCTCGTGAACTTTACAGCACTTTTCTCATTTGCTTTTAATATTTTGATTTCTGGTTTTTAAAAAATATTCCATTTTAAATCTTATGTTTCTGTATGAGAAAAAATAACTTTACATTAATAAAGAGTATTTAAAATATTACTTTCAGACATTTGCAATATAAATGGAATGAAAAACAGAAGTTGTGTTATGTGTCTCAAGGAGACGCCAGCTTCACGTATGGCTATGAGTACCTGGGCTGTGCCCCAAGGTTGGTTATTACGCCACTCACAGACCGATGCTGGCTCACTCTCATGGGAGCACTACACTTGAATCTTGGAGGCTACCCTGCTGGTCCAGCTGGTACAGGGAAAACCGAGACAGTCAAAGATTTAGCAAAAGTAAGTGGCTTCTATATCTAGAGGAAAGTCTTTTTCTTTTTTGTCATGAAAAATGTAATGGTATCTTAAATTTATACCATTCCTGTTGGTTAAGATGTTTATTGCTTCTAATAAGCGCATTCATTAATTCATATAATTTATCAATTAATTTTGATGTCTAGTGCATGCTAAGACTTGGGGTCCAGTAAGCCAACATATGTTTTGTGTTTGCTTGGAATACTACTTTACAAACTCACAAGCAAATAATCGTTCTGCACGTATGTGCATGCACAGGTGTAAAAGAGAAACAGAGAGTATTAGTAATAATTGATGAAAGCAAAGGGTATTGTTTGTGACACCTGAATGGTTTTTTCCTTTTATTTATAGTTTTGTGTAAAAAAATATGACTTTGATGTTCCATAAACTAATCAAATAAGCTGTAACAGCATATGAACATTTATAAATACTGAGTTTTGTGAATCTCTGAATTTGTTATCTAATTTATCTTCATATTGCAAATTTTCTCAGAAAGAATAAATGAATTCTATTATTCTAACAGCTTTAACATTGGTGTTGTGTGTCATAATTCAAGAAATATATTGAAACACTATTTTTATTTTCTAGTCCTTGGGCAAACATTGTGTAGTCTTCAACTGCTTTAAAGATTTGGATTATAAGGTAATGTTTAAACATATATATTCAGAAAAAAATACTGTTCACATAAAACACTTCGCTGAGGAATGAAAGAACAGGAAAAAATTATTTTTGCAATATTAACATAATTATGCATGTTATTAATTTTTAAAAACTAATAGAATAAAAACTTAAAGATATACTTGCCTTTAGTTCGACTGTTCCTTAAGACCGTGGTTTTTAAACTTTTTAACAGTGGGGTTCTCCTCAAATAAAATCTTACATGGAACATGAATATATAAACTACTATACTAATATAAATTTGAGTCCTAAGCATATACATGTACTTACTGAAAAGGTAACCACCAATATGGATATTATTATTTATAGAAATATTTGAATTTACATAGACGATGATTACAGATTTATGTCAGTCATCTGTTGGTTGCATATGATCTATGACATTTCTCATAACATTCTGAACCATTTATTTTTAAAATTTCATAGATATCTGTTAGAAATTATCTCAAAGTTTCAATCTGCAATTTGTTTTGCATGTTAACGCCAAACCTTTTATATTTTATTGCCATCATTTTGTTTGCTTTTCAAAGTCCATCTTCTCTGAGACCCTTCATTTCCAATTTGTGCTCATTTAACACATCAACAATATCAATAAATTCAAATAAGCTGACTTAAGTAGCAGAAACCCAGTAGTGGTAGTGGCTGCGGGCTTCAGGTAGGCCCAGAGTGACCTCTGTCTCATCCTGGCAGCATTCATGTCTGCTTTACCTACCAGCCACCCACACTAAGCTATAAGATAAGATACCTTTGCCTGACCTATGGAAAAGGGAGCCTGGGCCTTCAGACACTTTACACTCACCTGTCAGGAAATTGTCCTAAAGACTCTTTGTGCCTAGCCACGGCCCTCTGAGCTAAATGGCAGCCACCAAGTGGTCTGGTTCTGGTCTGTGTAAACTGTGGCCATAAATGCACAGTCCTTGTGAGTGTCAGTTTACTACTCACATTTAGACATTTACAAGACAGGCCAAGTAGTTGGCTCAACTAGAGACTTAGTGGCTGCTGCTTTCAACCCTACAAAAGTGCCCTCAGAGAGATAATGTAAAAAGTGATTGGTTGGTTTGGGTAAAATGGGAAGAAAATGAATGAATTACAATAGTATCCTAGCAGAATCTCTGCCTATTAGAATATTGTAATTTCAGTCATCCATATTTTTTTTCTTTTTAAAGATTGTGGGGAAACTATTCTTTGGACTAGTTCAGTCGGGAGCATGGTGTTGTTTTGATGAATTCAATCTAATCGACGTGGAAGTTCTCTCCGTCATTGCCTCCCAGATCCTAACAATTAAGGCTGCAAAAGACAGCTATTCTGTCAGGTATTTGTTGAATGTGTTTATCCTTTTTGAATGAAAATCTGGTTCATGCATTCTGTTTAGTTAGTAATTATTAAATATGTTTTCTACAATACACACCAAAAAATGGTTAGAAATACTACATTATAATAGGAGTTTTAAGTAGCAGTTCTGGGCTTTGGCTAGGCCCAGAGCTACCTCATATCTCATAGTGGGAGAGTTCAGGCCCACTTTTACATACTAGCCACCCACACTAAGCTGTAAGGAACCTTTGCCTGATTTATTACAGGAAAGGGAGCCTAGGCCTCCAGACACTTTATGCCCACCTGTCAGAAAACTGAAATTTTATCATCCTGAATGTTTCCTTTGCCTGGCAAAACAATGTGAATACATACTGTATATAACTCTAACTTTCAGGCCAACTTAGAAGTATTCAAACCCTTGCTCAAGCTTTGGAACTGTTCCTTGACATTAGTGCAAATACATTCTAAACAGTTTTTTTTTCCCCACCTTAAATTATCTCATTACCTTTTCATATTAGAATATCACATTTGAAGAAACCAAATACAGGTTAGTTTTTTCTTTAATTCTACATCCTTTAAAAAATGAAATCATACTGTTCACATACTGAAGCCTCTCTTGTTTTATTATTCTTAATGAATGGGTTTTTACTGAAAACCTCTGCAATAAAAATATTTGAATGTTAGGATTGCTAATGTTTAGTAATACCAGCAAAACTTTTTTCTCTTCTGATAAATTCAGGAACTCACATGATTTACTTTATGGACAGAAATTATTTATGTGCTTAAAACTTCTATTAGAATGTATCAATAGTAGTTCTAACTTAGACCAATTGACACTAACTTGTGGCATTATGCTCATGAAATTTGTTCAATCCGTGAAAGCTAGTGTTGCTAGGCCTCACAAGTCTGTGTGTATAACTCAGGGGGAGGGATAGGGTGGGGTCATAGTAACACACATCTCACTGACCCTTCACTGCACCTCAGCCTCTGCAAAGTTTTCCCAATTCATATCCAGAGAGTTCCTGAGGTTTTGTTCTGATGCATCTCCCATTTTGACCATCCTCTTTGGTTATCAGCTGTCTGAGAAATTACTATAGGATTTCTCCCTATCATCCCAACCACTGGTTCTGACTGCAGGATACTGAACTCCATGCTAAGATTTCTCTCACACTGGTCCCAGAGTTTTTTTTAACTGAGGGTGAGGGACCATGGGAGGTAGGCTGTGTTCCCTTGTGAAGAAGGAACTCTATGCTCTACCCCACCCCATGTGCTACTTTGTTATCCAGGTATTGTATTCATATCAGCAAGAGAATGAAAGGACATCTAGTTTTAGCCCAATTGAACGAGTCTTTATTAGCTGGCAGCCCATACAAGGACTTGAATCACTTCAAAATCTCACAGTCCCAAAGAAAGGGGGGGGGGAAGGGAGGTTTATCAAGGCAAAATCACAAAAGAAAAAAAACCCCACAAAACTCAAAAAAAAACTATAAGCTCTGAGTTATGTGAGAGTGGTTCGCACAAGTTGAAGAAGCAAGTTATCCGGAAGGATAGTTATAACTGGCAATATAAATCTACTGGTGATAAGCATTTACTGAGGAATTTTAGGAGGCACATATGGGTCAGGTTATGGGTTTCGTCAGGTTACAGGGAAAGGAAAAGAGTGGCAGAGCCATATTCAAAATGGAAATGGTCATGCTTCTCAAGCAGAGCTCTCTTATTTTCCAAGAGTCTCCTCAGGTTCCTTCCCTAGGTAAATCAACTCATTCAGAGAGAGACCTTCTAGCCTCAGATCCTAGACTTCAGATAAAACTGAATCCCAGCAAAGGTCACAGCTTTGACTCAAGATGAGCCTCTTCCTTCTCCTCTTTCTTTTACCATTTTATTTTCTAAGTGTGTTCTGGATTTAAATGTAGCACAGCCTTAAGAAAGTTCCCAAACTAACATACATTGGCTTAGAGAAAACAGTTCTATTGATGAATGATATCTTGTAGGTTTGTACTGGAAGGAAAAGAAATTCGCGTCAATATGTCTTGTGCAGTATTTATCACTATGAATCCTGGGTAAGTATCAGTGAATTTGGCAGGAGTGGACACAAACCAAAATCCTTTCCTTAAATCTTACCCACAGATGGAGTTGTCTGACACTGTGTATCCATCTTCACCTCCACTACCCCTCCTACCCTCTCCTCCACCCACACCATCTTCGAACATCTCCAACTCTGTACCTATCTCTATATGGATTTTCTCCCATTAAGCTTCTGACCAAGGGATATTTTCACTTCATTAATACCCAGAGAAAGGGAAAGGTAAGTAGTTCCTCACACGAGAACACAGGCAGAAAAAATTGAGAATGTCAGGAGGAATAAGAATTATGTTTTTTACAGTGAGTGAACATTGAAGAGCTTCAATAAATATCTGACTGCCACAGTAGTCCAGGGAATCAAAGAGAACTGATGTGAGATGAATTGCATGAGAAGGCACAGGGAGAAAATAGTTAAACAGGCATTATCAAAACCATCTTAGAGGGCCAACCCTAGGACATAGTGGCTATGGGACACATAGCTAACTGAGCAGCTCAAGTCCCAGCCCCAGAAGCTTGAAAAAGATGCCAAGCACATGGGTGTGCATGCCCCAAATCCTAACAGGATGGAGCAGTAGCGAAGGGGTTGAGGTGTGACCATGGCCATAGAGGAGTGCTTTTTCCCTCTGATTTTCTCTCTGTCTTGATCTCTCTGGTGAGTACATGAGTCCCTCTGACAAGGAAAAAAGAAAAGAAACCTTGCAAACTAGTATCAATTAAAGGTCACATAGGAAGCCAAGAGCATTATTTTGGTGAAAAGCATGCTACAGTATGTAGTTCCTTGTTTGAAAAACCACACAAAGTGATGTTGTTTCCTTTTTTTCCCTTTTCCTTTTTAGATATAGAGGTCGCGTAGAGCTTCCAGATAACTTACAATCTCTTTTTCGCCCGGTGGCAATGATGGTGCCCCATTATCAAATGATTGCTGAAATAATCCTATTTTCAGTTGGTTTCAAATCTGCAAAATCACTCTCTGGAAAGCTAGCTAACCTTTACGGGTTAGCTGACAGACAGCTCTCACAACAGGTAACTAAAACTGCTTTTTTCAATATAGATATAGGTGATGATATAAAAATAATGATATAAAAATAATTTAAGACTGTTCTGTTACTGGTCCAGGAAGGACCTACGACCTTACGAAATAATGGAGCTAAAATTTTAAACAGCCTATCAAGTTCATATACCAACTTGGATAAGGCAAAATGTAAAATCAGTTAAGATTCCAAGCCTCCTCGTCAAGATGTGGAAAGTGTAATCAAGCATCAGTTATTCTAAGTTATAGACCGCTTCCTCCAAACATGGAAGTTAACGTCTCGAGCAGTGACTGTCAAACTGCACTGAGGATCAGAATACTTTGGAGAACGTATTTAGACAGAATACTGGGACTTACCCCCTGAGTTTCTAATTCTGTACTCGTTTGGAGCTCTAGAATTTGCATCTCTAACAAGTTCTTAAGTGTTACTGATGCTATTGATCTGAGTGCTACACTTTGAGAATGAATGTTCTTGGATATGCCAGTTTTTAATGAGCATTTGTTTCCAGTCTAAAATGGTTGGAACAGCTAACCGTATTTTCTCCAACGTACTCTTGTCAAGATTCTTTTCAATTCATCTCTTTCCAGTTCAGAACAAGTTGAATTTAGATATTGATGGGTTTTTTTAACATGTTTAATACTTGTTACTCTTTTAAGAAAGAGACTTTTAGGAGTGCCAGTTTGAGAGGACAATGAGAGCACAAAGGCAGAACTTAGGATTTCCTAAGGTTAATATCAGTTTCCCTTCCAGGGCATAGATAATCAGTCATTTAACTATATATTACATGTATTTCATTTTGAATTGTTCTATGTTTCTTTCAGAAGGATTAACAATTCAAATATTTTTTATATTCAATAGGATCATTATGATTTTGGCTTAAGAGCTCTGAAGACAGTTTTAATAATGGCTGGGAAGAAGAAACAAGTGTTTAAACGGTCAGTTGATGTTTGAATTGAATCTTAGGTTGAAGGGAGTTAAAAAAACACTGGGAAAATAATTTATAGAATTTTAAGTAAGGATGACAAGTTTTAACAGGGAATCCCCACGGTGTCACAGTAAAATATGGTAGAGATTATTTAAGAACATGAAAGAAGAAGATGAACAAAATCACTGAGTATACAATCAAAATAAATCCCATTCTTTCTTTCTTTTCTATCTATCTTTCTTTCTTTTTAAGGTTTTTGCCATAGGACACGTGCGTTCACCAGAGAGAGAGACAGCAATAGGGAAGATGAGAAATCACCCCCGGGGGTTTAGCCATGCTGCAATTCCTTCTCTGTCATTTTCCTCCTGGGATTCTGGGCATACACACATGCGATGTGGGCACATGACTTTCAAGCCACCAGGTCTGGACTCAAGCTGCAGTCAGCAATGTAGGAGCCCATCGCCTTGACCACCACACCACCTGGTGGTCCCAGAGCCCCTTCTTTTGAAAAAATGTGCTGGGCTGGCCCTGTACCCTACTAGTTGAGGGACTCAGATTCTACATGGCCAACCACAAGTTGAATCTCCTCCCTGGCTGCTTGAGAGCATGTGGCATGTGTGTGTGAGTGCCCTGAACCCCAAAAAGGTAGAGAAAAGCAGGAAAAGTGATTGCAGTGTGGCCATGCCCTAGTAGGGGGGCTTTCTCTCTCTCCCTCCCTCTCCCTCTCCTTCTCTCTTTCTCACTTTCTCACTCTTTCACTCTGTCTCTCTAGTGAGTGCACACACCCTCTGGCAGTTAAATAAAAAGTTCTTTCTGGGGACCAGGGATGGCATAGTGATTATGTCACTAGATTCCCACATGGCTGACTGCAGTCTGAGTCCCAGACCTAGATGCTTGAAATTCATGGTGTGTGGGCATGCATGTCCCAAATCCCAAGAGGAGAATTGAGGAGAAGGGATTGCAGCATGGCGAATCCCCCGTCTGGGGTGATTTCTTGCTTTCTGTTTCTCTGGTGAACCCACCTGCCCTATAGCAAAAATCTCTCTTTAAAAAAAAGTTCTTTCCCTTTATATAATAAAAGATATAATGGAATAGAAAGTCCCATTTAAAAGAGCAATAACTAATGAGAAATGTAAAATGTATATGAATATACCTACGTGAGAAATGTATAAAACCCATATGAGGAAAACTTTAAAACAGACTGCAAGACAAAAATTAAAGCATGAATAAGTGAAATAATACACTACATTTGTAATATCATAATGTTTTAAAGAACTTAACATCATAAATATTTAAATACTCCAAATGTTACCTTATAAATGGAAATGCAACCTTAGTGAAAATACCAAAAGGGTTTTTTTCTTTGTTCATTTGTTTATTTTTTAGGTAAGATGATTCTAAAGTTCACCTGGGAAATACATGAGGCTAGCTTAAGAAAGCAGTGAAGGGAAACAGTCCTTTTAAAAAATTAAAGACATATTATAAAGTTTCAATAATTCAAACATCGTGGGACTGGCTCATGAGTGGAAGGTCAACCATTGGAACAAAGCAGAAAGTCCAGAAATAGGGCTATATTCTTTGGGCATTTAGTATATCATAAATCTGAGGGCAAGAATAGACTTTTGAAATGAATGATATTGGGAAAACTAAACAGCCTTCTTGGTAAAGATCACATTGAAACCACGGTCCACATCATTTACCAGGATAAATTCTAACAGGATCAGAAAATTTAAATGTGAAAATTTTTAAAACATGAAAGTATTTGAAGAAACAAAATGTCCTTTATACCCTTGGAATAAAGAGGCTAAAACTCAAAATTCAGAAACCATGAAAGAAAAAATTCATAAGTGGTCAAAAAAACATTTTGTAAAGTCAATAGAAAAATTATTGTAGTTCATCCCAGTAATATATAAAGATTTCTGAGAAAATGCAGGGACAGGGGAGGGACAGATCAAAAAATGGGCAGAGGACATCAACAGTTTTTAGAAAAGGAAATATAAAAGCGCCTTAAATATATAAAAATATATTTAACCCTACTTATAATGAGAGAAATGCACATTTAAATTACACTGAGATGTTGTTTCTCGCTTTTCAGATGAGCAAAACCATAAAACATAGACTGAATTTTCCTGATAAGGCTATAGGGAAGCATTTCCACTCCTTCATTACTGAAAAGAATAGAAATAGACAGGATATATCTTTTTGTACTGGTATGACTTAGAATTGTATGTGTATATTGCCTACTACATGAAAAAAGGATGCCTGTGTTGCAAAATGATGTATCAATATAATACCATTTGTGTGAATTTTTCAAACAGAAAATGTAGATTGTGGCACATACGTAAACAATGAAAAGTACAAAATGGTATATGGGAAGGGCAAAGGATAGAGGATGTGACTATATTTTATTTCTTAAAAATAAAAGACCTGAGGCATAGCTTGCAAAATAGCCTGTTTAAATATTGATAACATGTGAGAAGGTGTCTGTTATGAAATGTTTTATAACTTTTAAAAATTAAAGATAAACAGTGCTCCTGTGTGATAACCAAGAATTGCTCCCAAACATTCCAAAGTTCTCCGATCTTTCTTATAGTTACATAGTTACTTACATAAACGTTCGGTAAAAATGGGACTGGTCTCCTTTCAAAGCACCTGACTAATTTTCTTCAAATTACGGAAACAGAATTCTCATGGACCTCCTTTTCTTTTCTTTTCTTTTTCTTTTTCTTTTTTTTTTTTTTTTTTTTTTTTTTTTTTTTTAGTTTTTTTT